TTTTCATTTTGTTAAATGAAACAATGTGTTTGGCCTTTTTTCTTCTTAAGTTCATGCTATTTTAAGCCTGATATTGCTTTTGACCATATGAAATCCCTTTATACAGTCTTTGCTCTGATTGCAAAATGGATCTGTACTCTTTGTCTATTCCTTCTTTTTCTGCCCCTTTCTATGGACTTTATAATTGTTTATGAAGAAAGGCCAATGCTACCACTTGAGCTAATACAGTGTTAACTCTTTCTATTGACAAGCATGTGTAGTTTCTTTTGCATTGTTGACTTCTAAAGAATTTTTCTTTTCAACATGGTTCATTATTTATATGTAAGACCTGATTCTGTTTTTTTACCATGTATGCTCAAATAGAATTAATATTGAACATGGTTCATATATCTGCTACTTTATAATGCACCCTGTGCATTATATAATCTTTATGATCTACCAGGTACCGAGTTTATCCGTTTACCATGTAAGCATTTTTTTTGCCTCAAATGCTTGCAAACCTTTACCCAGATACATGTAAAGGAAGGCACCGATAGTAATCTTCAATGTCCTGATGCAAAATGTGAGGTTATGATTCCACCTGGCCTTTTAAAACACTTGCTGGGTGACGAAGATTATGAACGCTGGGAATCCATGATGTTGGACAAAGCAATTGCATCAATGTCTGATGTTGTTTATTGCCCAAGATGTGAAACACCTAGTATAGAGGATAAAGACTAGCATGCTCAATGCCCAAAATGTTATTTTAGCTTTTGCACTCTATGCAGGGAACGGTGCCATGTTGGCATGGCGTGCATGTCCCTAGATATGAAGCTTCAGAGTTTGCAGGTATGACATATAGTTTAGCTGATTGTTTTGGACTTCTACTCTCTCTCTCTAATTGTGTCATTCATTACTTTAAGGGTTGCAAATGATACTCAACTTTTTTTTCTCATCTATTAACTTACTTGTATAACCATAGTCATTTTAGATCCAATAAGAGTTGTATGTTCATACAGTCATTAAGATAGTTAAGTGACTGCATTTGGCACTTTTTTGTTAATTACTATTCGGATATGTACAAAGTAATTGTTTATTTTTCAAAATCTCTCTCACAAAGCTGCTAAAAATAAGCAATTATTTTTTCAAAATAAGCTTGAGCCAAACATTTGTTAAATGGTTGAATGCTTTTGGTTTCCCTGCTTCAAACACAAAACTTTTTATATATTGATTCAATTAGGATGGTCCAGCACAATTTCATGTTAATTGCTATCCGATCATGTGCTAGACTGTTAGGTCAGAGGGGAAAAAGGAAATTTGTTGAAACAGTTAGACCAATTAGTTTGGCAGTTGTGTAGTTAGAGGGGGTTGGTTAGATAAGTAAATAGGAAGATTGGAGGGGGGGGGGGTTGTGAAGGAAAAACTCTTGGAGGAGAATAATTTCTCATATTCTCATTTGTTCAATTGTATTCTTCGGCAAAATAAAATAAATATAAATAGGGTGTGTTTCAATTATAATAGAATTATGGAAGAAGAAGAAATAAAAAGTTACAGTTTTATGACTGTGATTAGAGTAAATATATGTGAATGTTTTTTCTTTTCTTTTCTTTTTCTGAAAATATTCTCTGCCTTAAATATTAAAACTTGATGTTGGATGTATTGGAAGTGTTCGATATCTAACTTATCATTATGTTAATAGCTGTAGAAAAGGAGAAAATATTATTAAGAGAAGTAGTCATAATTATTCGGATATTAAGTGAATTTTTAAAGAAATTTTTATAGAAAAAAATAGTATAAATAATGAATAAAAAATTTTCTTTAAGTTAAAAATATTTTATTTTAAAAAATTTTAGAAAAATCAAATAAAAAGTTAATTTGAAATTTTCAAAAAATAGAGAAATATAAATTATTTTTATTTTATGGGAGAAGTTTTATTATATTTATTCTGATTTTTTCCTATAATTTTTTTAAATAGCCAAATAGAGCCAAAGATTTTAAAATTAGAGAGCCGAATGCAGGGTAAACATGTTTTAAAGGAGAGAAGAGTTATGCAAATTCAGTTGAGTTAGAGACAAACATTTCCTCTCAGGTGGATGATTTCTGCACTGGAAAGGATCAATTACACAGGAGTCTCGAGAACCAAACTGGATGTAAAAACCTACAGTTTGTTCCGTTTGCAATATGGAGCGAAGAATACTCAACCTCCATCATGCGTAGTAGCATCTTCAATCCATCAATTCATCGGTGTTTTTTTAAAATCTGGACGATGCATCAGATTTATTTTAATTCCCCAGGCCAATAGGCTTGGATTTTATTAGTTTTAGGAATTTTTTCAAGACTTAAATATTCTTTTTAATCTTATATTTTAGCAAATTTTTTGTTTTAATGTTTTTTTTTTTAAAACTTAGTTCTTATATTTTTTTAAATTTTATTTTTAATATGGTTTCTTAGTTGCTATATGTTATTTTTTATTGGTTGAAAATAATAAGAGAAACTAAATATAAAAAAATTAAAATATAAATACAAATATATCATTAAAAGGGGAAAAACATTAAAAATACAAAAATTAAAATATTTTACCTATTTTTTAATTACTTAACTGAGCGGAAAATTAGAGTTTGCCTTGGATCCACTCCTGTCTTTGCAGCACCTATGTTCTGTGACCAAAATTTTGATTGTGTATTATATTTTCTTTCTTTCTCTATTGTTATGTAAAACCATATAAATGCATGAGAACTGTATAGAATATTTACTATATCACTGACAGGAATTTTGAAGTTAAATATAAGAGAAGACATATTTATATAATTTTAAATTAAAAATATATTATTATCAATAATAATAAATATATGGTTGATATATTAGTTTATATTTTTATTTAAAAATATTAATTTTAAATTTCTTTCCGACTAATCTCATAAAAGGGTATCATAATGATTTGTATAGTGTGTATAGCCATGTCTATTCACCCTTCACCTCTATTGGAGATTCACAAAGGTGTTACGAAATTAATTTTTTAGTTATATATATTTAAAAATTATACATATAAAAATATAGTATTTTTGAAAAATTACAAAATATCAAATTTAAAAAGCGTCATCAATAATTTTTAGTATAAATATAAATAAAATAAAAAACTGTAAAGTATCAAAAATCATCAATACTAATTTTTTAAAAATCAAAATTGTTAATAACGATTTTTAAAAAATAATAAAATATTTTAAAAGTATAAAATTAATTATTGATTATTTTTTGTCAAATGTTGTCTTGAGTGATTTTTAAAATTTTCCATATATTCTGTAATTTTATAAAAAGATTCATATTTTTGTAATTTTAAAATAAAAAATCATAAAAAAAAGAGCGGGTGTTATCAACCAAAGATTTAAAAGATAAATACTCCAGATTATTACTGAGGGAATACAGAGTGATATTTAAAAAATCATAAATAAAAATATAAAGGTGTTATCAGAAAAGTTTTTTATATATGATATTTAAAATAATATATACAAAATAAAGTGTTTTTAAAAATTATAAAAATATTAAATTAAAAAATTGTAACCGATAATTTTTAGTGTAAGTATAATAAAATAAAAAAAACAACAAAATATCTAAAATAACTAATGATATTTTTTAAAAAATATTAAAAAATAAAAAATGTTAATGATAATTTTTAAAACAATAATAAAATATTTTAAAAGTAAAACAGAAATATTATTGACAAGTTTTGGTTAAAAGTTGTCGGGAGTAATTTTTGAAAAATTTTCATATATTCTATAATTTAATAAAAAATCATATTTTTATAATTTTAAAATAAAAAATCATAAAAAAGAGCAGTGTTATCAAGTTTAAAAACAAAAACACCTGTATTATTATTAGTATCAAACAATTGAAGGAATACAGGTGAGGCAAGAAAATGGAACAGAAATTTCAATTCTACTGAAGTGAAACATTATAACACCTTTTTATGGAGATTAAGATGGATATCCAGCCATGAAACATTATAACACTGAAATATTTTTGCCACTCTTATATGTATATACACAGCATAAAAAGAACTAAAAGAGAGTTAGAGAATTTCTAGCTCAGTATTCCATTCACTCATAGATTTCATGAACAAGGCATGGAATAATTCATGTTTTCAAACTATATTAAGTATGCATTGTTGCTCTGCATCATTTCGGCTTAAGGTAATTAAATTTGGCTTGCATACGACTTACATTAAAGTAGGCGGTGAAGTTTATAAGCTTGAATTATATTTTATCGACAAATGAGTCTTTCTGACTTTAATTTATTTGCTTTTGTACAGAAAAATTAATATTGTTATTGTTACATAATTTATATATTGAAAAAGAAGACAACAAAAAATGGCTTGCAGTGAACCAATGTTTCTTAGCCTGTGAAGCTTTGTTATGTTTTTAAATAAGGCCTCGAATGAGTTTTGTGAATTAAAAAAGTATTGGAATAACTTTGCCTTCTTAAATAAATTCATCTGACTTAATTTAAAATTAGTTATAATCTAAAATAACTTTTGAATTCAATCTCCTATAAAAGAAATTATTATGATCATTTATGATTTAAAAATAAATAAAGCATAATAATGTAAAATACGACAAATTGTGGAACACAATAAACGATAACATCTGAACAAAAATATTTTATTATATCCTTATTCTTTATATTTATTTTTAAATTTAAATAATATATATTATTCTTTAATTTTATGTGCAACTTTGTTGTGTTTTTGAAACATATCTAACATAATGTGGAACTCATACAGTATATTCTGTCCCATTTTAATGTATGAATTTAAATGCTATCTACAAATAATAATTTAATTTTGATATTCAATTAATTAAAATATATAATATATAACTTTTAAATTAATTGTTATAAAAATATAGTAATATGATAACACTAAAAAGTTTTTTTTTTTTTTTAAATATATGGAAGGGAACCAGAGGATAAAAGCTTTATTCTAAAATTAAATAAAAATTGGTAGGAAACAACAATGAAGTAAAATTAGGGCAAACCCGTTACACTTAAGGGGCTTCAGGTCTACTTACCCTTCTTCTTCAAGTGAGACCCGCCGGCAACACTTCAACTTCAGTGTAAGGGTGTTTTTAAAACATCTCTTTTTGTTCAACTATATAGCTTACCCGTGGTGGCGCACGGTGGGTTCTTCTATCCTTTCCATTTCCAATGTCTTTTGCTTGTTCAGTTGTTTTAACCTTGGTGGCGCCAATTGGCTATTGACGGGGGTATCTTCATGTCGTTAATATCCTTTCTTGAGCGTGCTTTGATCCGAAGCAAAGTGCACTCTCAACGGCAATGCTTGATTAGTTTGCACTCTTCTGCTTCTTCTGCATTGATGTCGGAAGACCACGTGTTTGATGAAAGTCCAAAAATTGATGCAAATTTTGTGGTTAATAGGCCAGTAACACATGTTTCTGGTACAAGGATGGAGTTGTTTCCCTTAGTGGGTAGGATTTTTAAATCATTGAATTGGAGGGTGGCAAGAGAAATAAGGTTTGGGGGATGTGTTGAGAGTCATGGGTTTTCCCATTCAATTAATTGCTTTAGGATTATTGTTCATACATTTGCTTTGGCGGGGTTGCGTTTGGAAGTGTTTTCTTTGCTTAAGGATGTTGTTGGGTACTGCAATGGGGCCAAGTATGATACGTATGATTTATTTTCAGCTTTTCTGGATTCACCCAATCATGTGGAAAAATTTGTTGTTGTGTTTGATGAACTCATAAAAGTGTTTGCATCCAGTTCTATGCTGGAAAATGCCCTTGATGTGTTTGTGAATGCTAAGCGGATCGGGCTTGAGCCTGATATAAAGGCTTGCAATTTCTTGTTGAAATGCTTAGTTGAAGCAAATAGAGTGGAGTTTGTTAGACGATTTTTTGAGGAATTGAAAGACTGCGGTCCTTCACCTAATATCTACACCTATACAATCATGATGAACTTTTATTGTGGAGATGTTGGGTGCCATGCAAATATGAGAAGGGCTGCTGAGATTTTAGGAAAAATATATCAGAGTGGGGAAAAGCCGACTGTTGTCACTTATGGTACTTATATTTATGGACTTTGTAAAGCTGGTTCCGTTGAGGTTGCTCTAATGTTAATTCGCAACTTGCACTATAAAAACCAGCCTCTCAATAGCCATTGTTTTAATGCTCTTATTTATGGATGTTGCAAAAAAGGTGAAGTACATGAGGCTTTGCAAGTTTTGGAAGAAATGAAGAGCACTGGGACATTACCAGATGTTTATAGCTACAGCATCTTAATTAATGCATTCTGCAAGAATGGGGATGCAATTAAAGGTCTTGACATGATAAAGGAAATGGAACTCTACCAGATAAAACCATCCACTGTCAGCTACACCTCCCTCATCCATTGTCTGTGCAAGAAGAATCTTATGCAAAACGCAGTGGATATATTCCGTAGTATTGGTGCTTCTGGTAATAAATATGATCAGTTTGTTTATGAAATTTTAATTAAAGGATTTTGCATGCAAGGTGATGTGGGTTCGGCCATCAAGCTTTTGGAGGAGATGTTGAACAATAATTTGGTTCCTACTTCTTTTAGTTACCGCAGTCTAATTGGGGGATGCTACAAACTGGGACTCTATGACAAGGCATTGGAAGTTTTTAATATCATGCTACGAGATGGTATCTGGCCAGATACTATTGCTTGCAATTGTATGCTTAATGTATCCTGCAGGGATGATCGCCTCAAAGAAGCCTTGACACTGTTGGAGAACTTCGAAGAACATGGATTTAACCTAAACCAATATTCATATAATGCCATCATCTACAAGCTTTGTAAAGAAAATTATCCAGAAAAAGCATTGGAGGTCTTACCAAGAATGCTTAAAAGGAATGTACTTCCTGGAGTTGTTAATTATAGTACTCTTATATCTGGTTTTGCCAAACAGTTAAATTTTAAAGGTGCTGTGAAGTTATTCACAAGAATGATAAAAGTGGGGAACACTTTCAACACCATCACATATACAATTCTTATTAGCATTTTTAGTCGTAGAGGCAAAATGCATGAAGCATATGCCATTTTTAAGGAAATGAAAAAAAGGGGTTTGTGTCCAGATGAAGTTTCATATACAACTTTAATAGATGGCTTTTGTAAAACTAAAGAAATGAAAAAGGCCTGGGCATTATTTGAAGAAATGTCAAAGGAAGGCTGTTTGCCAAATGCAATTACTTATACTTGTTTGATTCATGGATTTGGCAAGTCAGACCGGATAGATTTGGCTATCTGGCTGTTTGATGAAATGAACAAAGCTGAAATAATTCCTGATGTTGTAACTTACACTGTCCTCATTTTTTGGTACTGGAACCATGGGAACATAGACGAGGCATTTAGGGTATATGATGAAATGAAGGAAAAGGGTGTTTTGCCAGATGATATAGTTCTTAAGATTCTAGGCCTACTCTAGATGGTGCAACTCAAGAAGGTTATGCAGCTGTATCAAAGCTTCCATGATATCCAGCTGGTATGTGCTTTGACATCATTTCCTCTTATATTTGACATCTCTATTATTATATGCCATGTTATTAAACTTGCTTGCTAATTGATAATCTGCTTGAAACAGTAGGATCATAGTAAAACCTGTGTTGCTCCGTAGCTGTGTCACTCATTGACATCTACATATAATGTTATATTTTTTGGGTATTAATATTCTTATTTATTGTTATCCTACTAGTAAACTTTATATACAATGATTCCCAACAGCTAGTTATTTTTTTATTAATATTTAACTATCTTCTTGATGTCCATAAAATGAAATTAATAATACTACACATGGAATATTTTATGCATATGAAAATTCACTTATATAGCCTCACCATTAGATTTGTGTTTATGCAGGAATAATCGGGATAACATTTTCCAAAAAGAGAAGGTACTTCCAGTTTAAAAATTCGTTTGAATCCTACTTATAATCCTTCACCTTTATTGAACGAAAATTCCAAGAGTAAACACACTGTTTCATGTATTACTCATTAAGCATTCATTTATATCTTATTTTGAATTTAGTGTAAAAATTCCCTTTGCCACTGAGTTGCTGTGTGGTTTTATTTTTGTGAGTTACTGAATATCTATGCATTTTCCAGTTCTAACTGGATATATCATCAAGCTTAAATATTCTGCAGATGCTGACTGTTATAAAACAGTGAAATAGATTAGTTTGGATATAGTACTGAAAAAATTAAAAGAAACTTGTATTATTAATTTATTGTTTATAATCTTCGTCATCATTTTTGCTTGCTGTGTGTGTCACAGAATCTGCAGGTTGAATATAACATCTGGTGCTGTTATCCAAGGAAAACATATTGGGTGATAAAAAGAGACAAATTTGGTAAGTTAAATGGGATGCCCATGGCATTACCAATAATTGATTTTTCAAGCATCATATTTATGGAGTACATATTCACTTTTGGAGAGTACTATACTATGAGTTGCTTTATAAAGTTAATTGTCTATCATATTTTGCATTAAATTCTTATTTACATGTTCACTGTCATTTTGTTTATGATAGGTCAGGAAGATGAATTCACTTTCGGGGAAAATGCTGAATCATCATGCAGAAGTGGCTAAGTGGAAGTTGTAAATACTGCAAAAATGGAGGTAGCTTTCTGTTCCTAATTATAAACATCAAGGTTAACAGCTACTAGTATACTTTACATGTAAAATTTAGATGCTTGAGGCATAATAAGGTGGAATAATTTTATAAAATCGAAGAAGTGCATAATTATCAATTAAGGGTGGATATTCTATAAGAAAGTAGTTGAGGCTTAGGTTGAAATGATCAAATGACCGTGTGTGTATTCTTTTGATTTCTTAGCTCTACTCTTGTACTATTGGAGAAAAGTTAGCCCAGTTTGTTTCGCATTTCTTGTTGACATATCTTACTCTTATGTACTTACTATAAAGAGGCATTTACATTTGATGATTATTACAAGAAACAATTCCAACTTCCTTGAAGGTGCTACAAACTTTACATTTTCTTTGTGCGGTGAAGTCTCATCTTTTCTGGGCAACTTTAGAACATGATTCCTGATAGACATTAATACGTTGGTTGCAGGGCTATATGTATGGTCTTGTAGTTGTAGTTGTAGACCTGTTAAGGAACACTTTGCCCAAGCATGATTGCGGCCATTATCAGCATCTGGGTTCTTAGCCTGGTACTTGAGAAGGGTATGCCTAGATAGATGTCCATAAATTATTCCCAAAGATGAATTCAGCATTTAAGGATGAATATTGAAATAATAATTATGTTGTTCGTGGAAAGCAAGCTTCATCTCTCACTTTGGGAGATCTTATCTTCAGCTCACACCACCATGGCCTTGAGATGGGAACAATTGGTATCTATTTTTTTTAACCTGTTCCGTTTATGGTTCACTGAAATGTAATCTGCTCTATACTGAAAATCCGTTCATTGGTGTAATGTGGCTTCTATTTCAAATGTTAGGGACCAATTGATTTGGCCTTTGTCCGCTTGAAAATGATATTGTGAATGTTTCAGATGAGATGACACATCAGGAAAGAGAATGAACAATACTAAACAAAATCTGGAGGACAAAGATTGTCGAACTATTTCTCTGGTTAGATTCTGTGACCAACTTCACTTTCTTCATTTTGTTAACAGAAATGAGATTTTATGGGCCAACCACCCCAGATACATTTTTTTTCTCTACAGCATTATGTTTCACCCTTTTATGTCTCTGAAGGGGAATGTTATGTGTGCTTTAGTAAGAATGAAAAGGGAAGTAGAAGGCAATGGAGTGAACATTGACAAGGTATCCAACCATGTGATGATTACATAGATTATCAAATATCTCTCATACTCCATCCAGACATTCCATTTTCACTACACCCTTAATCCATTGGAACATTTGTAATTTTTGCTCATATTTGATGAAATTGGCTTTGCGTCCACAAAATCAGGTCAAACTTCAATATCACAGATGATCAAGTGTATTCTGTATAAATACACAGACTCTCTTGATGGTAGATCCAAATAATAAATAGGTTTTCTTCAATGGATTTCTCACTCCTCAGTGTTAATCTGTTGTTTTTTTTAAATAAAAAAGATGATATAAAAAGTAACGACCAGTGCAAAAATCATTAATTTTGCATTGTACTAAATGTGTTACCTATTTACCGTCTTTTCTTTGGCACCATTACAGGTGCAGATGGCTTTCGGGGAAAGAACCAACGCAAATGTGATTGGGAAAACGCGAAATTTGTTGATTCTTGGGCCGTTGTTCTAGTTATAATCTTTTTTTTGGGCGAATGTTGAATGAAATATGTTCAAGAGGTGTATGAATGGGGGATTATTCCTGTATCTACATAATTTTTTCAAAGGTACGGGAATGGGTGAGCTTTGTTGGGGAATTATATTTAATGAAATTTTGAATATTTATAATAAAATTAACTAATACTAATTACTGTTTTACAACTTTATTCTGGAATAATGCTAAAGGTTTGTTTGTTTCTCCGTTTCTGATTGAGTTGTACCACCGTGTAATTTATTTCCTCTCAGCAAACTTGGTTCTGAATGGAGCTTTGTGCTTTGGAAAGCATGAAAATTTGGTTTTCCTGAGTGAACGAAAATGCACCAAATATTTTCATATATTTTATTAATAGAGAAAGTATTGAATCATTTTATGATTTTAAAATAGTAAATTTATTTATTTTTATTTATATAGTTTTTGAAATATTGAGAATTAGTAAAAAGATTTGGCAAGTACGAAGGTTCAAATCAGAGAAGGAATCAAGACGTATTTTTATAAACAAAATGAATGGCTTATTAGATACTATTCTAACAAATTTTGTATCACCTTAATTTGATTTTTTAAATAAATAAATTTTACAAAATGGGAGAAATAAAATTTATTCAAATAATTTTTCCATACACAGTTTGTTAAAATATTTCAAAAGAAAGATAGATTACAACTTACATCAAATCATTGCTACATGACTAATTTAATTACATCGGAATTCAAAAATAAATTTCTAGTCCTATAGCAGTTTCATCCATCTCTTCACTGAGTCTGGTGCTGATCGTTTTGGTTACCTGAAAAATAAATATAAGGGTGAGTACTCTACACTATCTAACACATACAAACATAGAGACTCACACTGCACATTCGACATGTTTTCTAACATATTCTACTCAAGTATAATCAATCACAAGCAACACTTCTCAAACATTTCATTTCAATTCACAACCAATGCACCAACAATATTTTACACACACACATGCGCTCACTGCACATAGCTATGCTCACTGTGACACTGTTATCACAATTTCACACCATGTATGGTTGCCGAATAGCCTCCGCCTCACGGATACAGCTTGTGCAATCACGAGCCCTTTGACAAAGGTATTAGTCAGAGGCCGAGTCAGGAGAAGAGTGTGTGGCCTATGGTGCACTCACGCTCACTGTTAGTGTCACCACCACCTTCTCTTCCCCAAGGTATTTATACCGCCCCATCTTCCACACTTTCAGTATATTCCTGAACTATTTATAGCATATTCACAACCACATTTATCATGACATTCACACACACATTTCAGTCACATTCTCAATGATATATAATATTCATATTCATACACGGCACATATGTTCACATTTATTCACATCACAAGGCACATATGCCCACATTTATTTACATCACACTTAAACATTAAATCCTCATCAACTTCATCACAATCAATTTACTACATCATCCACAATATGCTTAATATTCCTCATAGTCCAACTATTCCATCACACACAATAGCCAACAATTACTATATCATATTTCATACAAAATTTTCATCCAAACATAATTACCTTCTATCTCAACCACATTGCAATACATAGCAAATACACAAATTCAAAATAAAATGAGATAAGGTAAAGTCTCCCTTACCTCAGATTGAAGACCCACACACGAAATCAACAATGAAAAAGCTCCCCACACAAATTTCGTCCTAAAACATGGAAAAACTCCATGAGAATCAAAGAGAAATCGAGAAAATAGAGAATGAGGACGAAAACTGAAAATCCTAACTCACAAACTTACCTCCAAGCGTCCCAAACTCGATTTCAACCTTTAATCTTCTCACAAACGGCTTTGGAGACAATTTAATCGGTAAAATAGGGTTTTAAGTCGAGAGAATCAAAGAGATTTTGAAGAGAGGAATGAGAAATGAATTTTTCAAACCCTAAACCCTTTAAATATTTCTCTGATTGCGACACGCTCGCTGCAACGAGACAAGCTCGCTGCAACGAGACATCTCTCGCTATAACGAGACTGCACCCAGAAATACACCCCTCACTGGCGCTCTCTCGCTGCAGCAAGGGACTTTTGACTACAGCGAGAAAGCGATAGTCTCACATCTTTCTTCCAAGGCCTTCTTGCTACAGCGAGAACACTCCTGCACTACACACTCAGCCTATATATATATATATATATATATATATATATATATATATCCAATCAATCCAAATTTTGATGCACAATCAGCATCCACATCATCATATACACATCCAATTCATCACATAATCGAATGCACATTCAAACATCTATTCACACACACACACATATATATAATAATCAATAATATTATAAAATTTGAGGCGTTACAAATTTACTCTATTGCTAGAAAGTTAAGATTTTAACATAATATAATTGATACTAACTAAGAATTTAATATACAAAATATAAAGTTGTGAATATTGATTTAAGCAGGATTCTTTATACTTTCCTTCAAACTCATTGTTAAAGAAAATGTAACAATGAGTTTGGGCCTCAATTTCAAAAAAAATTGTAGCAAAGGTTGGTTTTGTTGGCAAGTTAGCAATCTTAAACCTTGAAGTAATGTGTTTAACACAAACTTTTCTTCTGGCAGCCTTTTCTCTAACAAATCAAAGATCTAATTCAAAGTGTTCGTGGATAAGTGTACCCATCGAAAAGTAATAAAGAATTTTTGAAAAGAGTTTCTAAGTTATCGTCCTATAGAGATTATTTTTAAGTATCAAGAATAACTTGATTCGATTGTTTAAACATAACGGAATTGTAACATACCAAAAACAGAGCTTAATATTAACAATAAATTATAATAGTAATACAATGTATGAGAGAAATCAAATGAGATGAGCCTAGGACTTATGGGTTCACCTACTACACTTCTTTATGTTCTTATTAATTTAATCATGATATTGGTATCCAAATATTTGTCAACCACTTATAATCAGTTCTATTAACACCCAATGATTATGCAATATCAATATTCTTTTTCCAAAGCAAGCAGCTCCAATGATCATACAAGGTAATTGGTCGAGAAAGCATGAAGACCCTATGAGTTTGTTAATTTAATAACGACTGAAAGAAAGAAATTAAGTGTGATTAACCTAGCCTCTTGTCTCGTTTTATCTTATAGTTCTATTAATTACACATGGTATAATCGCCTATAATTCAACTAACTATGGGATGCTAAGGGTGATCAAATCTTAACATACACAATATAATTCAATAGAATAAGAACCAAACATTAAAGGAAAACCAATACCAATATTAAAGTAAAAATCATACAAAGTTTGCAGTAGGATCATCATAGCCCTAACTATGGGTTTAGTAACTCATAACAAAATAATCTACAAAAAACATGATAAATAAACTCATAACCACAAAGGAAAACCCAAACAAAAGAATCCCAGAAAGGTAAAAGACGAAGAAAGTTCTCATTTTTCAAAAGGCGCTCAATCGCTTGCTTGGACTCTAAGGGAAAGCTCGTTGTTCTTGCCAATGGTCTCTAATGATTCTCAAAGATGAATTGAGTTAGAACTAAGAAGGGAAAGAAGGTGTGTAAAAAAGTGGCAGTGTCAAGTGTGGAGTATAAGACCTTTTTATATGGGTTGTGCCATGAGTTTCTAGTTAGTTGAGCTCTATATTTTTAAATCAGTTTTATCCATAATCAGAATTGCTCCAAATCTTCATATCTCAATCTTTATCTAAGTTTAAATTTTAAATTCAAAATTCAAACCCAAATTCACATATCACAGCCAAGGACTGAAAGTATCTAAATTTTATCCAAAATATCTCCATAATGCATTAATAATAACTTTCAACTAAACTGCAACAGTTTATAACATAATTAGTGTAAATATATATAAAATAGAGTTTAATTGTATAAATATAAGTCATAAAATATATCAAAATATGAACTTATCAGTTTTGCTATGGAGAACATGATTTGTTGTAAGTAGAACAACACCTTGGTTGTCACACCACACTGATGGTGCTTTAGTTATTTTGATGTGCAATTCATTTAGTAAAGACTTTATGTAGGAAATTTTAGCAACTAAGGATGCTAAGCTTTGGAATTCAACTTCAGTGTTGCTTCTTGATATTACTCTTTACTTCTTAGCAGCCTAAGATACTATATTAGGGTCAAGGTAGACACAAAATCTTAATGTGGATTTCATATCAGAGGGGTCAGCAATCCAATTACATGTAATTTTTCTTATTTCTTTAGTTGAATGCCAAAGTGTATTGTGCTTGCTAAGTATCTTAGAAGCATTTTCATAGCCTTCTAGTGATCATTGAGAAGATTATGCACGCATTGACAAAGCTTATTCACATTATAAGAAATATCTAGCCTTGTGATAGTTGCATATTGTAAGCTGCCAACCATAACCCTATATAAGGAACTATCTTCAAACAAGTGAGTGCCTTCTACAATAAGCTTATGGAGAAACTGCCACAGGTGTCTTGACCATCTTTGTTGAGTTCATTTTCAGTTTAGTTAGGAGATCACTAATATACTTAGACTAGTTGAGATGAATACCCTCTTGTGAATCAAGTTTTGCTTATATCTCAAGAAAATAGTGTAGATGGCCAAAGTCTTTGAGAAAGAAGATAAGTTATAATTTATGTATGAGACTAATGGTGGCTTCCCTTGAATTACTTATTATTAGGACATGATCTACATATGTAAGAATGTTAATGAGGATGAAAATATGACAAAAGAGAAGTATCACACTTAGCTAACTGAAATCCAAGAGAATGTAAAGTTGTTAATCTTTCAAACCATGCTTTAGGTGTCTGCTTGAGACCATATATGACTTTTCTAAGTCTACAAACCGTATCTTTATTAGAAACTTCAAAACCAACTGGTTGTTTCATAAACACTTCTTCTTTGAGTTCACAGAAAGCATTATTAAAATCAATTTGATGAATAGGTCAATTTCTAAATAAGGCAATGGTCAATACTACTCTTAAGCTTTGTTTGAAAGTTTAAAAAGGGAAGGAGGGGAAGAGTTTGAAGGAAGAAGGGGAATGAAAGGAAAAGAGAAGGAGGTTAAACTTCTCTCTTGTTTGAATGTTTAATATTGAGAGAGAAGGGTAATGAGAGTTTAATTATACAAATGATATTATATTTTATATCTTTTATTTATATTTTTTATTTTTACAAAAAATAAAAATATTTTTCTTTCTTTAAAAATTAATATTTTTATTTTTTATATTTTTTAAAAATTACCACTTAAAAAATTATTTTTTTTTATAAAAAGTTAGAATCTTATTTATGAAAGAATATTAGAGAGTGGGGGAGAGAAAATTTTGAAAATGAAGAAACTTAAGAAACAAGAGTTAAGAGAGTTTAGAAAAATTGTCAAAATCTTTTCCTCCTAGTTAAATAACTTTCAAACAATGATTAATTCTTTTTAGCTCTCTCTTTCCTTTTTCTTTTCTCTTAAACACAACTCTCAAACATAATTTCACAGTTATAAGTATAAGAGGTGTCTTAAGATTTGATCAAAAGTATGAGATGTGTCTTAAATAGTAGTAGTAAGATGAACTTATAGAATTAGTTGAACAATATTAGAGTTGGTATTATTAATGATAGGTATAGATGTAAAAATATTTTGGTTTATATTTAATAGTATGATTGGTATAGGAGGAGCATTATTTAGTAGTTGATATTTTATATACAAAATAAATGGCTTATTAGATACTATCTTAACAAACAAACTCTATGTAGACTAATAAAAAGTTAAGATCCCAATAAAATATAACTCATTCTAACTAAAACTTTAATATACGTGAATATTAATTTAAGCAAGATTCTTTATAGCAAGTGTGCAACTAACATCATAATAGCTGCTCCTATATATGCTATTTCAATAAGATTCAAGTGTGGCAAACATCTATAACCCTAAGAAAGGTATTATGATATCATAACCATCTTAGTTCCTAAACTACATAATGACCAGAGTTGACAAATCAACTACAAAATCCAAATCCAATCTAAAAGTTGAAAAAACTACATTTTTAAAATCAGATTATAGATGGTCTGTTCATCTTTTTAACCAGTTTTCATTTTTTGTTTTGTTTTCATATAGACGATGTCCAAAAATCTTGTAAAAATTCAAAAGGTCAACGTCTGATTCTCAAATCTTAATTCTCCTTTCCCAAACCCAAATGATTAACATAGCAGCGTTGCTCAATGCAGAACCAGCTTTTTCTTTTTTGGCTGTGCCGTTATACATACGAGGTGCCAAAACATAAGCAATGGCTTATAATGTTAATACTGTATATAGTTTTTTTCTTATAATGATCCTAACCTTAATATTTTAATTAAATAATTAATAAATACAAAATTATATATTGATAATATTAAATGAGCCAAAAGAAGTTATATAATATTGCGTTAATTTTTTTTTATAGAATTCAGTTAGAAAATTGGCAATTTGATATAACTGGTGTTAAAGCAATGTTAGTTTTATAAACCTTTTTTTTTTTGCGCAACATTTTAGATTTTTTATCATCAATTTTTCTTGGCAATTTATGTTAGTTTTGTGGAAGAAAAATATTTATAAGGATAACTATTTATACTAATTTTTAAAATTTTAAGTTTTAAACATTTATATTTATTTACTTCAGTCATCTTTTATTTGTCATTTTAGATTGTAATTATTAACTAGTTTTTTATTATAAATAATCCTTATCTCTTATATTATTTTTAAAAGAATATATATTTTAAGGGTGAAATTGAAAGAAAATAATTAATCATTTATTAGTACTGTGAAGTGATAATCAAAAGAATAAAAACACTATGATATGTTAAGGGTTAAGGGCAACAGAATAAAATTTAAAAAAATGAAAATTTCTGAATTTACACTTGGTTTTACCTTAAAACAATTGAATTTTAACTAAATTTTGGCTAAAAATCTATATTTAAATCCCACTTTAAACTAATATTGTATTTTAAAGTGGTTTCAGATTTAAAAATAATTTTTAAATAAAATCGAATTTAAGTTTAGTTTTGAAACTGGGTTCGAAGAGAAAGGATTGATTTTGAAATCCATTCATATAATTAATTTATAAATGAATTTAAGTTATTATGCAACGACAAGCCACAAGGTCAAATTATGGAAAAACAGGGAAAGAAAAAGACTTTTCACATTATGGAGCCACTCGAGTTTGATTGTGGAGGCAAAAAGTACGTTGTACTCTCTCAAAATATGCGGTTATTAATTGTCCTAATATTGAAAAAGAAGAGTAATGTTCTATCTTTTCACTATATCTAGTCGTTAATATTTATAATACTTTATAAAGAAAAATTAATGTTAAACTCTCTTAAATATTTTTATTTCTCTTTACTTGGTAAATAAATAAAGTTAATTTTTTTATATTTTTTTAAAAATTAAATATAAAATTTAATTTTAATATATTATTAGTATAAAAAAGTTTACACAATCAACTACTTAAAATATATATTATAGATATATTTTTCATATTAATTATTACATGAACATATTATTGTTATTAACATGGCAATTTATATTTAAGATAACAATGTAAAAATATTTTATAGTTTCAGTGTATTTAAACTAAATTCTTAAACATATCGCCTTTTCTTTTGATATTTTTTACAAAATATTAAGAATATATTATAAGAAAACATAGTATTTGGTCAATAAGGAAAGTATCAAATCCAAAAAATAAATATTTAATATTTTATTTATTTAGTAAGAAAAATTTAAATTATTTTATAAGATTTATCTATCTATTAATTCTCTCATCATTAGGTACAAAAATATTTTTTAAGGAATATTTAAATATGAAAGTGTCTTTTATATTCGAATTTTTCTCTTTTAAAGTTTTCTTAACTTTTCTTTTTTATTTTAATCTCTACATTTTGTAATTTTTTATTTTAATTCTTCTTACTATCATGATCCATTAAAAATTTATAATTTTTTAATTTTTTTATTAGATCACATTAATAATAAGAATTGAAATTAAAATTTTACAAAAATATAAAAATTAAAGGGATTAAAAAATGCTCAAATACAAGACCAAATTTATATTTACACATTAAAAAAAATTATTTGACCAGTTAAACAAATAATAATTAGCAAATCTTTTTTATATATTGCGAACATGTTTTTAAATTTAATTTAATTTAAAAATATTTATTATAATATTTAACTATAAACTTAAACACACGGATCATAATTTAAGATAAAATAACTCGTACTAATTAATTTACGTATTTAGTAAATAAAATTTAAGTTTTATTTATATTTTTAAATATAAGAAATAAATTTTTATTTAAATATATATTATTCATTAATTTATTTATATCTTTATTTATTATAAAATTTATATTAAATATAATCATTTATTTAATATATGAATTGTCTTATTATAAATATTTTTAAAATGTATTAGAAATTTATATAATATATTATTTTTATTAATTTTAAAAAATGATTTATTAATTTCTTATAAAAAATAAGAAATATTAACGACATTATAAACTAAGTTAGTTTTTTTGACATGGTAATAAATAATCATTAACAAAAATAATCTATCAATAATAAGTAACACACTCCTTGGGAGGATGGTAAATCGGTAAATTGAGTGAGTGAACCGGAGCGGCAGCAGCCCCAAAGAGGAAAGGGTGTCCATAAAATAAAATCCATTTGCTTCTGTTCCTCTCTCTTTTCTTTCTTTCTTTCCCTCTCAAATCTAAAGTCTCCTTTCAACTCCAACAACTTAGGGTTTCCACTATCTTAGCAATGCCCCTCATTCCCACCCTTTCCTAATTACTATTCTTTTTTGTTTTTTCCGTTTGCTCAAAAATTTCAATTCGGCCACATGGACAGTGGTGGTGGCGGCGGCTCTACCCCGGCGGCGGCGATTCCGAACGCGAACGCGCCGCCGCCGTTTCTGAGCAAGACGTACGACATGGTTGACGACCCTTCGACGGACGCGATCGTGTCTTGGAGCGCAACCAACAACAGCTTCGTGGTTTGGGACCCACCCGAATTCGCCAGAGACCTTTTACCCAAATACTTCAAACACAACAACTTCTCCAGCTTCGTTAGACAGTTGAACACTTATGTATGTTCCCCTTTCTTTTTCTTCATTCTTCACTCGTGTTACTCTTTCATTGCTGAATTCTCAGTGATTGTTGGTTTTGGGTGGGATGGGACTGGTGGTGTTGATGCACTTTGATAATCTGTGAGGTATTTAATTTTGGTATTAGAATGACGGATATAGTTTATTTGTTATGGTCTTGATTTGGATGATGTTGTGGGTAAGTATTATTCTTGATAAGCTCAGATTATGCTGTGGCTGTGGAGTTCACTCACTGGCTGCAACTGGGTTGCCTGCAAAATTTGATCTTTTTTAACCATTTGTCTTGCTATGGTATGCGAAGGAGTAAGTAGAAACATGATTTTTTTTGGGGGGGATTTTTTTTCTATATGTTTCGATCCCTCTTTATCATCTAGTGTGTTTTTTTTTTTTTCAAATGAAGTGGGTGGCTTCAGCCAGTGGAGTAGGGAATTATTCCCAAAATCAATTGAACCTCGAATAAGTTAACAATAGATTGTAACTTGTGTGCCTGAGATTGTTCCCTGTTTCAATTGGTGGATGACTGGATGTTGACTCTGTTTTTGGTCGACATGTCTGCCTGAGTAAATAAGCGTTGATTGTAAAGGTAAACATTTGCATCCTGGATTGTCCCCTCATTGGACCTGGCTTGGGGCTCGCGTGTATAACTGATGGGAAACTGATAGAAGGGAAAATAATGTCTCTGGTTCTGATTCGAGGTTAGAGTATACTCCTAAGAATAGCAATAGAAACGGAATTAGAACTGTATTGATTTCTTCACATTTCTCCTTCATCTCTGTAATACCTATATTCCTCTCTCCAATATTATATGCAGCCGCTAACACCTATGTACACTAAAACATAATAGACTCATGATAGAATAAAAAATTCATAACAGAATGCTTCTAGAACCTTGCTGACTCATTAATCAATAATAATCATAATCTGCCCAACCCTTGGGCCTATGAACCATACGCTTGGGCTTCCATTTGTAAGGATTGGAACTTCTGCACCTGGTCCAGTATCCTTGCTCTTTCTGAGTAATCAGTAATTTCTTGGTCCCTATCAATACTTCCTCCATTGAAATTAACCTTGTCCTCAAGGTTGTACAAGCTCTTCAATTCGTCCCAATTCTCCCAAGAAGTATCATCAGGGTCAATCCCTTCCAGTGCACCGGAAGGCACCATGCAGTATTCATAGTGTACCTCTTGTGTCTGAAAGACAGTTTCGTGAGTATCTTAAGGGTGCAACCTAATCTGAAGGAAGTTGGAAGTGAGGTCCAACTTAGAGAAATACCTAGTTGCACCTAACTCATCAAGAAGTTTGCCTATAGTATGTAAAGGAATTCTGTTGTTGATACTGAGGGCATTCAAAGCCCTATTATCCACATTCCACACATATTCGCCAAGATCCGTTGTTTTTCTTTTTTTCCTCAATAAGAGGACTGGTGAGGAAAAGGAACTCGTACTTGGTTGTATCCGCCCATTTGCTAGGAGCTTGGTCGCCTGCTTCTCAATCTCCATTTTATGGGCTTGTGGATACCTATTACAAGGGGTGAATTAAGTATAAAAGGAATGGCATGATCAAAGGCACTCTTGGCGTGAGCAAAGAGGAAGGTTTAGAGAATATGAAATTATATCTCTGAAGTAATGGATGAAGAGAAGGATACAAGAGTCAGTAACATTGTGGCAGATCTGTCTCCTTGTGCAGACACCTCTAAGGAAAAGAACAATGTTTCCTGGTCTGTATGTAGAATACATCTAGGGAAATGGATTCAAGGAATGTGCATGTTTCTCCTTTCAATTCAATAGTATTCTGGTGATGAACAAACTCATTGTAAGGTTTTGGCAGTCCATAATGACTGGCTCAAGTTGCTTCAACAATTTTGGGCTCCAAGAACATCTGATCCACTCATGTTCAAAAACATAAAGGTCCACAAAATGATGTCCTCGTAGCAACAATTTTACCCCAAGATATACATACCTACACTTCAGCTCATCTCCATGGTCCACTATAACTCATAACAAAGGGGTTGGGCTACTTTTAAGGCCCAATAAAAGAGAAACACAATTTTGTATGTTATGAGTGCTCCCTCCATCTACTGGCAGTGAGACCTGTTGTTGCTTTATTTGATCTGTAATTCTGAAGGTTTCTTGGTACCTAGTCTTGATATTGCTTTCATACTTAGTTGGCCCGAATGGGCCTCTGCTATTCCACCCACTTTGCTGCCTCCATCTGGGCCATAGTACAACAACAGCGCATCTCACAGTTCAATCGTGGCATCTTCTTCCTCCTCTGCTACTAGCAATATATACTTGGCCTTCTACTTATGTCCTCGAGAATACTTCTAATCACAGTTGAAACACATTCTTTCTCCCTTCTTTCAGCCATTTCCATTTCTATCAGCTGTTTAAATCAACTAAGGTGGTGGAGCAGGTAGTAATGGAGGAAGGGGCTTAGAAGGATGCACCACTGATGGTGGGGTGAAGATGCGTCTGACTGGAAATGTGGGTCACTGTTGTGCGAATATTGGCCAAAATTCGCGTGTTGGCAACCTAGCCAGACCTGCCTACTCAGGATAGGGTGAATGATTGTTGAGCCAATATCTCCCTCTTAATCTCTGATTTGAGTCCCGAAATGAAGCATCCTCGAAGGTATTGCGGAGGCTACCCCACAATGCAATTTACAAGAGATTCAAACTCACTAAGATAATTTGTAATGGTGGAAATTTAAATGAGCTTACCCCGCTGATCATAAGTTGTTGGAGCAATTGCATTTCCCGAGCCCGGAGAAATTGCTGCCATGCCTGAATCTGAGCATTAGTGGAATCATGCTAGTGCTGGTCTGTAAGATGCCACTGTGATGTGCTCTTTCTGTAAAAGAACTGTAAAATCTTGAAAATCCAGCCAAGTGGTTCAATCCTGTCTAAGCGAGGCACATCAAGCTTTAGGAAATGCTTCTAACCAAGTGTTCTCCAATGTTTGAAAAGAATTAGGGGAGCCAGGAGGTGTTTTAGTCTCAAGGGTGGTGCCATGCAGGGCCGTCTCATTCATCTTTGTAGACATGGAAAGCTAGAATGTGTTAATCCTGTGCATTATCATGTTGAGTTTCTCAACTTGAGATTTGAATTGGGTGTTGTCCCCCATGGGATGGGAGCTACTCTCAACGAGATCACCAAATGATGAGAAACTGATAAAAGGGAAAACAATTTCTTTGATTTGACGTCAGATAATCCTCCTAAGACTGGCAATAGAAAGGGAATTAGAAATGTATTGGTTCCTTCACATTTCTCCTTTCCAATACATATGTTCCTCTCTCTAATGTTACGCACTACTGCTAACACCTCTGCACATTAAAGCATAACAAACTCATGACAGAATAAACAATTCATAACAGAATGTTTCTAGAACTTTGCTGACTCATAATTAATAATAAACAAAATCTGCCCATCCCTTGGGCCTATGAACCATATGCTTGGGCTTGCCATTTGTAAGAATCAACTTCTGCACCTGGTTCAGTATCCTTGCTCACTCCTGAGTAGTCAGTAATGTCTTGGGCCCTATCAATAACATTACAGCTTTCATTGCAAGGTTGGTTCCAGTTGCTCAATTTGAAGTCAGATCATAATTGGAATTAGAATTTGTTTTTCTTTAGATAAGACTTTCCTGCATCCTTTTGATATATTGTTGCCTTTTCCTTGTTATCTTGGTCTATATTTCATTTTTTTTATGCATGTCTACTTTATTGTTTTATATAAAAATTCAAAATATATGTGTTCTTTTAGGGTGTGTTCACCTCTGTCCTGTCTCTTCCCTTTCTAACATCATTAGTTCATCACCATTACACAGGGTTTCAGGAAGGTCGATCCAGATCGCTGGGAATTTGCAAATGAGGGTTTCTTGAGGGGTCAAAAGCACTTGCTTAGGGGTATTACTCGGCGAAAACCTGCTCATGGTCAGAATCATCAACAAGCTCAGCAACCTCATGGACAGGGTTCATCAGTAGGGGCATGTGTAGAAGTTGGGAAGTTTGGGCTTGAGGAAGAGGTTGAGAGGCTTAAAAGAGATAAGAATGTGCTCATGCAAGAGCTTGTGAGGTTGAGGCAGCAGCAACAGACCACTGATAACCAGCTGCAAGCAATGGTTCAGCGCCTTCAGGGAATGGAGCAACGACAGCAGCAAATGATGTCATTCCTTGCAAAAGCTGTCCAGAGCCCTGGCTTCTTTGCTCAGTTTGTACAACAGCAAAATGACAGCAGTAGGCGCATATCTGAAGTCAACAAAAAGCGTCGGCTCAAGCAGGAAGGTGTTGCTGAAACAGAGCGTGCTACTGCTCCTGATGGACAAATTGTTAAATATCAACCTCCTGTGAATGAAGCAGCAAAAGCAATGCTGAGGCAGTTCATGAAATGGGATGCTTCTCGTGTAGAACCTTTTAATAAAAATTCTGATAACTACTTGATTGGTGATGGCTCATCACCGCCTAGTGCAATGGACAGTAGCAGCCCTTCAAGCTGGACTTCTGGGGTAACTCTTCAAGAGGTCCCCCCAACCTCAGTGCAGTCTTCACATATTCCAGCTGCAACTGGGACACAAGGGCATTTCCCCTCCATATGCAAACCTGAAACTCTTTCTGTACCTCAAGCTATGGCTTCTGATCAAGTTAAAAAGGATGGAGCGCATGATGCACCTTGTATCCCTGTTTCTCAAGCAGATGTAGTCATGCCTGATCTTCCTCCAATAACAGAGATGATGACGGGAAACATTCTTGATATTCCTGAAGAAAATTATATGGCTCCTGAGACAGACGAGGGATATATGGATCCTAATTCATTGGGAGTTGGGGGGTCATTTCCCATTGATTTTGAAGGTATTTCACCTGATGCAGACATTGATGATTTTTTAAACAATCCTTCTATTTGGGATGATCTTTTGCAAACTCCAGTTCCAGAGGAACTTGAGACCAGTGTTGCTGAAGTATCCAAAGGGAATGAGGTGCAGCCAACGAAAAATGGATGGGACAAAACTCAACATATGGATCAACTTACAGAGCAGATGGGTCTTCTTTCTTCTGATGCAAAAAGGGTTTGATTATCTATGAAATTTATATTAATCTTTCATATTGTCCAAGGTAGTCCCTGACCCAAACAATACACAACTAAAGTGATGTCTATAATATGTAATTACATTTCCACTTGCTCATTGATAAAGTTGATGCTTTTCGTTTGGTCTCCTATGGATCTAGTTTGTGCACGAGGGCTAAATGTAATTTTTTTTATGTGCATTTGCATTGATATTTCATTCAACTCATGTTGAAAACAAGTTATGAACTTGTGGCCTTGCCAGTGCAACCTCGTGGAGTGTTTGTAACGTACCTGATCAGTTCTTCCAGTGTAGGCAATCTGTGAAGTTGAGTTATATGTGAATTAGATAGCAGTTCTTTCCCAATTTCCAAGTTTCCTTGATGAGGGGGGAAATGGGAAAAAGAGAAGTCGGTGGCAATGATTGCTCAAGGCGTCTGAAAAATGCACTTGGTTCTTGCTTGGAAGATTTACTTTATGAACAAGAGGGCAATGGTACGATGTTAAGCTTCAGGCTATTTGTTTCTTCGTTATTTTTTTTAAAATGCTTTGTGAGGTTATGTTTCAATTGATGGAAAGAGATGGAATAGAGGGAACTGAAATGGAATGACATTAGTCACCATTGTTGGAATTTTTTAAGATAGATGGAATGGAACTTGATGGAATTTATTCCATCTCATTTTATCAAATGTTCTACTCATAGAACTAACTTGTTTGTTTGTCAATTTCCTCATCATTCTGTTTATTTCTTAAATAATGGAATGGGAATTTCTACTGCATAATAAAACATTCAAACAACGGTAAAGTAATTTCATCCCATTCTATTTCATGTCATTCCATCAATATTTAGATATTTAAACCATGCCTGGAGTTTGACCATGTAGAAGTGAGGGGAGTGTGTTTACCTGCGATTAATCATTGCTGCCCTTCTTTTTTTCATTCTTACCCAGTGTTTTCCGTGAGGATGGGAATTTGCTTCAAATTCCACGTTGTCTCGATTGTTTATGTAAATATGCACACTTGTTTTATGATGTAACTTTGCAAGCATTTACGATGCTGTAGAACGTATCTAAATTTTAAATAAAATTAGTATTTTGGTTCTTTAATTTTGTTTTCAATTTAGTACTTTAACTTTGCATTGTCCACAAGCTTATTTTACTCGGTTGACTATGTGCAAACTAAAAAACATAAACTCCTTGAACGGTACAAAGTTAAAGGATTAGCTTAAAATTAAGAAAGGTTAATTAAAACGAAAATAATCAAGAAATGATTGTAAGATTAAATAAAAAAACGTAGGTACTTAAGATATTTTATGAAAACTTTAGCATTAGAGTCAAATGCAATTTTAAATATATAATGTGTAGATAAAAATAGTAAAGGAATAGTTATAATCTTAAATAAGATATAAATAATGATAATTAAGGAAAAATATAAAATTTTATCAAGAAATAGTTTATTTTTCAAAAGGAATTATCCATGTTTATAATTTGAGGAAATGACATTAGTAGAACTAATACATAAAGTGTGCCTTATAATGTCAATTCAAACAAAAAAAAAAATTTACTTAAATGTGTAGAAAAATAAAAGTTGACAAATGTAAAGTTAAATAAAAAAAAAATTACATTTTATATTAAAATTAAATAATATTTTCATTCAATTTAGTACCTGTGTCCTCTAATTATTTATAAATAATTTTTATTAAATTATAGTTACTACTTTATTGTTTCTATTTTAGTTATCTAATTTTTATTTTTTTTAACAAAAATTTGATCATTTAACTTGTCACCATCTAACAAGTTTATTATTATTTTTATTTATGTCTATTGTGTGTTAACGATATGGATATATTTATTGAACCTGAAAAAAAAATATCAAATTGATAAATAATAATAATAATAATAATAAGTTAAATCAAAATATTAAATCTTGCAAATCCTAAAAAATTAATTTTACTCTAGCTTTTATAATATTAGATTACTAGTGTAATTCAATAGCATGTCTTATGTATCACATTTATTATGGTTTTTATGCATTAGTGAAGTATCTTTAAAATATATATTACGTGTCATTTATATATATATGTTTATCTATTCAAAATGGTAAATTTGGAGATTTATATATACTCTAACTCACTTGTTAAGCATAATATGATAAGATGGATGGAACATGAGAAATAAAAAAAAAATGATGAGTATGAAAAACTTTTTTTTTTGTTGGATGGAAGGGGTCCAAAAATTCAAAACACACAAAAACTAACTCTCCCTCACAAACAAGGTTATGTTACAATCAGCAAAAAGAGAAATAGAAATGCAAGGAGGAGGCGTATTAAAGTGATGAACTCCTATAGGCAAGTAGTGTCCATATTTGGAGAGTTGGTCAGCCACAAAATTTGCTTCTCTCCAGATGTGGGTACAACTGCTATTGGTAAATGAAGAATGAGATCTTCTTATTTCTGCAATCAATGATGAAGCAGGGTGAAGAGCAGGCCATCCGTACTTAATAAATTGAATAGCTAACATAGAATCAGCTTCCACAAATACTTGTTGTACACCTAGCTGTCATGCTAATATTACACTTCCCCAAGTTCACTGCATAAGCAGAGATAAACTTCCTTTCACTATTCTGTAAAACACCACCGCAAGCAGCATTTTCATTCTAAGTAGTAACTGAACTGTCTGAATTCAACTTCATCCAACCATGAGGAAGGGGGTACCAACTGACGTAAGGTCGGGAGATATCTCTCTTTGGATATAGTGAACAATTGATCTCAAATATCTTTAAATTCTCAATAACTTTAGCCCAAACTTATCAAACAATGCCCTGCTTGATGACCATTTTTCCCTTAAATATAAATTTGTTTCTATGCTGCCATAGTAGCAAAATAGTATTTCCAAAAATAACCGCCCATTCATTAGCTGTATATCGCCCCCAACCATGAGTAAGGTTATGAGTAATTCACTACAATCTATCCATAGACAGAAATGTTTGCAAAGCAATTGTAGGCACAAGGCTCTTCCAAACTTCCAATGCCTTCTCACAGTCCCGTAACACATGCATTATTGATTCAACTTGTTCAAAGCATCGAGTGCAAGACACATCTATTGTCATATGCCATCTGAGCCTATTTTGATTAGTGAGAAGGGCATCCTTTGCTACTAACCAAAGGAAAGTTCTGACCCTTTGAGGACCTTGCCAATTTCATATGCTTTTAAATAGACTTACTTGTTGTTCTTGTTACCCCATAATGGCTAAGTAAGCAGATTTGATAGAGAAGTGACCATTGCTAGTGCAATTCCAAGCTATACTATCTAGACCATTCCAAGGGGATGGCGGAGCTATCCCCATAATTACATCACAAATATGTTGGGGGAGACTTAGCTGTAGTTTCTGTAGGTCCCAAACTCTTGAGACTAACAAGAACTCATTTAGATTAGTCTCCTTGTCAATATGCAAAATTGGATGCAAAGCTACATTCTCCAAAAGCCTAACATTCGGCGCCCAATTATGGCACCAGAATTTGATGTTATTTCCATTGCCAATTCTGCATAGAAGTTTGTCACTAAGAACCTTCCAGCTTGAGCACACACTGCGCCATAAGTTGGACTCTTTTTGTTTCCTATTTACAATAGGCATTATGTCACTTCCACATTTGTATTTAGATCTCACTACCCTAGTCCAGAACGCATCTTTGTTCTGTATTAGACCCCAACCAACTTTCATTATGAACACAGAATTCATATGTTTAGAGTGTCACAAACCTAAACCTCACACAACTTTTGGGTTACAGACTAAATTCCCATCAACCAAGTGAGCTTTTCTCTTCTCCGGGGTGTCTCCCCATAAGAAGCCCTTGCAATATTTATCAAGTTCTTCACAATTGGCCTGAGGAAGCATGGTTGTTTGCATGGTATAGATAGGCAAAGCTAAAATAACTAAATTGACAAGGGTCAATCTACCCGCAAATGAGAGGGAGAAAGCTTTCCAAGAGCTTAGTCGTAACACTGCTTTCTCCAAGATTCCCTTATAAGTGGATATAATGGTATTATTATGCAATAGCGGGACACCAAGATATTTCCCTAAATTATCTGTTCTTGAAAAATTGAACTCTACTAATATCTTCTCTTATCACATGATTAACATTTCGAGAGAAGAAGATGCGAGTCTTCTCTCTGTTCACTTTTTGCCTCGAGCTTTTGCAGAAGGAATCAAAGCATTGCTTTATCACCGCTACCTGACTCATATCAGCCTTTGCAAAAAGCATAAGGTCATCTGCAAAACTCAAGTGAGACAATTTTGGACCATCTCTAGCTAGTTGGACAAGTTTCTAAAAATTATGATCCACTGCAGCATTAATGAGGTGGGAGAGTCTTTCAATGCACAACACAAAATGTATGGTGATAGTGGATCACCTTGTCGAATCCCACGTGATGGAGTAAAAGGGTCTAAAGCTTCACCATTCCAGAGAATTCTTATAGTTGGGAATGATATGCAATGCCATACAAGCCTCACGAATTCATTTGGAAACCCAATATCAACCAAGAGTGTCACGAACAAAGCTCCATTTAATTATGTCATAGGCTTTTTCAAGATCAATCTTGATGGTCATTCATCCTTTCTTCCCTCTCTTCAACTTCATGGAGTGAACAATGATTATGTTATCTGAACTATGGCGACCAGGAACAAAACTACATTGTGTAGGTGCAATCAATTTCCCTATACAATTCTTTAGTCTAGATGCAAGGATTTTGGTAATCACTTTATAAGATACATTACAAAGACTTATCGGTATGTATTCTTTTAAGCTAAAAGCTTGCTATACTTTTGGAATAAGAGTGATCAGGGTTTCGTTAGTACTAGAGATCTTATCTGTATGGTTGTATATGTCTTTAACTAACCTGCATAGATCTTCTCCTACCCAGTATCATTGGCTCTGGTAGAAAATGGCTTGAAGACCATCCACTCCCTATGCCTTAAAATTGCCCATGTCAAAGATGGCTTTCTTGATTTCTTAATTAGAGATTGGATATTGGAGGTTTATAATGTCCTCATTATCCAAAACAGGAAAGTTGTTATGCAGAATGTACGGTTTATCGTTAGTGTCATCAGTGTATAAATCTTGGAAAAATAATTTAGTCATGCTTCCCAAAATATTTAGGTCCATTATTCATTCCCTGTTCTGGTTTTGGAGGGCCTCAACTCTATTTCTCTTGCACCTAACAATGGTTGTTCCATGAAAATACTGCGTATTCCTATCACCAAATTGCAACCATTTACAACGTAATTTTTTATTTTTGATACCACAGAACTTCTTGAAATAGAATGTCCTCATATTCTCTCCATAGCTTCTGTTGAAGATTTTCAAGATATTAATTATGATCAGTAGTCAACTTTTGGGTAATCCCATTTAATCTTCGAAGAATAATTTTCTTGTGAAATATGTTACCAAAGATTTCAATCCATAACATTGGTGTTCCAATCCATCTCATGATTCCAATGCTCGCTACAACCTTAGAAAATTTTGGGTGAGCTAATCAAGCAGCAACAAAATGAAAAGGCCTTCTTTATCTATTAGGCATGGTTTCACTCTGGAATCTTCACCAGAGGGGGTTGTGATCAGATTTAAGGTGTGACAAGTGGAAGATGGAAGCATTTTGAAATCTAAGTTGCCACTCAATATTAAGTAGTGCTCTATCTAATCTCTCAATTAGATTACCCCTCTTCCAAGTAAAAGGCCAACCAACAAATTCCAAGTCTATTAATCCACAATCAGAAACACACTGCATGAAATCCATGCATCTAGCTTCCATGTTTTGTGCATTACTACCACTTCTTTCAAAGTTATGCAGAGTGTATTGAAGTCACCTATGAGGCACCACAGTCCCTGATACCTTCCCATACTCTCTTGCGATTAACGGTCCGAGGGCTACCATAAACTGCAGTTAAAAACCAAAGGACTTAATTCTTCCACCATATTTTTATATGGGTAAATTGAGCACAATCCACAGTTACCTCCACTTTCCAAAGATTATCATCCCACATGCACCAAATTCCTCTCGAATGACCATGCGCTTCAAAAATAGCCGATCCACGAAAGCTAATTTTATTTCTAATAAAAATTTCTCAAAAGCATAAATAAAGTCAAATTGTTGGTTTGGTTCTATTTAATCACTTAAAAAATGTTATTTATAAAACTATGAATTCCTTTTTATTTTCCCGTGTAAAAAAATCCACAATTTTAATTTCTACTTTTTTCTAATTTCACATTGTATCTTCCTACTTAATAGACAAAAAAATCCTAATATTCTGGTCTGGGATACGATTACGCACTAAAACAAAGACTCATATCGATGGTATTAATTTTTTCAATACACATGAATCTTGATATCAAAGTTAAAATTACATGTTTAACGAATACGAGTCCCTTCCACTGAGTCCAACACATTTTATTCATAATTCTAATTTCTAAATATGTGCTTTTTTTAAAAAAAAAAAAAAAGGGAAATATAACATCAAAACCAAAAAAAATAAAAGTAAAATCACTATCAACACTCTTTGGGAGAGAAAAAGAAAAGCACGATGCATGCTTTAATTTATTTAGAATTTTAAAACATATATTGTTATTATTCTTCGTTTCAGCTACGTGTAACATATACGCAATATTTTGCACGTCATTTTTACATTGACGAACGATGTGTAAATAACCTAATTAATCCGCATCTAGTGAAAGAAAATATTAATCACCTTCACCAAAAAACTCCATGGATGAGAATTATACTTTCAAGGTATCCAACTTCAATTAACATATTTCTTTAAGCTATCGCCTCATAGGTTTTATCATTTCCATTTCCAAAACCTTTGTACCTCTTGCCTTTTATATATGCCAACAAACTATGCTCATTTTGTGTATGTTAAGTGAAAATCACATTGTTATATGGTTTGGGCTTCAACTTCGGATTGTGATCCGAAAAATCTGTTTCATGGATCCTGACTGCTTGGCTCTTTCTTTCCTTTCGGGTTCTGTCACTGCTTTGCATGCTTAACACTTGATTATAGGGATCTTCACTATCGCACCATCATTCCTTTATGCAAATTCTCCTACATACACACCATAGTTGTCATGAATCTAGAGGTGTACATGATTGTGCTTCACCCTGACCATATAAAACAACACCGCAGGGCTGTAGATGCGCATGTTTAATGAGAACCATGAAATTTGATATTTTAGCTAAAATTGGAAATTAACTGAATTCAAGTAAAATATATAAAAATAATGATAATGATAATAACAAATGGCAACAAAAGCACATCTAATTCTCAGAATAAACTACGATTATCACAGCCATGCTCAGATAAGCTCTGATATCACCACTAAAACCTCACCTGTCCATTCATTTCGGATTCATCACAAAACACTTGTCATCACTTTCTCAAGCGATAGTTTTCAATCAAGCACGTGGCTTTCTTCAATTAAAATTTCCCCATTTTCTCATTCTTTAAACCCCATATTTGTTTAGGCTGAGGGTGTTTTCAAGTGTAAGAGGAAGGTAAATGACATTGGTTATCAGAGAGAGGAGGCACAAGCAAGCTTTAAGGCTTTCCTTACCAAAACCTACAATTCCATCGTCATCATCATCATCATCATCATCTGATATCACACACAAAGCCCACATGCCAGCATTGTTGCCATCTCCATCTTCCCATGTAGACACTTCTCCAGGCATCATCAAGAACCTTTTAGACCTTGAGAAGCTAGTGGTACTTGGCCATGGCAACGGTGGCACAGTCTATAAAGTTTATCACAAGAAGAACAAGTCCTTTTACGCGTTGAAAGTTCTACACTTTAATCAGAATGCCATTGGCATACGTCAACCCGCTACACTAGAGGCTGAGATTCTCAAACGTGTAGATTCCCCATATATAGTAAGGTGCCATGCAGTTTTTGACAATGGTACATGCGGTGAAACTGATAATGGAGGTGGCCTTAGCTTTGTTATGGAATACATGAAAGGAGGGTCCTTGCATGATGTGTTGAGGGAACACCGTAGGTTGCCAGAAGACGTGATATCTGTGTTGGCTAAACGTGTGTTGGAAGGACTCAACTATTTGCATGGCATGCATATTGTGCATAGAGATATTAAACCCTCAAACTTGCTTGTGAATGACAAGGGGGAGGTGAAGATTGCAGATTTTGGAGTGAGTCACGTGGTGGAAGGAAGGTTTGACAGAAATGACTCAAATGCGGGCACGTGTGCCTACATGAGCCCTGAAAGGGTTGATCCAGAGAGATGGGGTGGTGAAAATGCTGATGAGTTTGCAGGTGATGTGTGGTCAATGGGAGTGGTGATGTTGGAATGTCTTTTGGGTTATTTTCCTTTGATCGGTCCTGGGCAAAGACCAGATTGGGCAACTTTGATGTGTGCAATTTGCTTTGGTGAAAAGCTGGACATGCCAAAGAAAGCATCACTCGAGTTCCAAAATTTTGTAGAGAGGTGTCTTGAGAAGGATTGGAGAAAGAGAGCAACAGTGTTAGAGCTTCTTCACCACCCTTTTGTGAGAAGAAACTGTTGCTGTTCCAGTAAAGGGCTTGGCGATTATGTTCTTTGGCGTGAAGTTCATTAGATTTTGATTTTATCTTTGTCAGGTTTTATAACTTAATTTTAACTTTTAACTTGGTCTTCGGCTTTTATAATTTCAGAACATGAAAGAAATTTTGGGTTGGATTTTAGAAGAAGCAAGGGATAATTTTTTCCGCTTCAAGTTAGAAATTTGAATGTCAATAATTTTGAAAACTTACTACGCGTTGATGGCAGGCAAAATCTGGGAACTACTGCAGCAAAGGAACAATGCTAAGGGATTTTAATGGGGCATTCCGAAGTTCCAATTGCTTGATGCTGTATGTGGAAGACAACAAATGTGTTCTCATAAAATACCTGCTCCATGTTCTTGCTAGGTGATGAATTTGAAGAAATAGCTGGCGTTCAAAGTTAAGGATTAAGTATTATAATGACTGAAAAACTAGACACCAAATATTAACATTTTCAAAGATTTGTATTGAATATCGAATGTGTTAACTGAAACTATTAAAGACACATCAGTCAAACCATAATTAAAAAAACGTTAAAATGTTAAGACACCAAAAAGAAACTATTAAAAAAAATGCATTTAATATGTTACAAATTCAAAATATATTTATACTTTCTTTTGTAAGCAATTAAATATCAACTTGAATATTATTTTGTTCCTTATAACATCTGCATATAATAACAGATAGATATGAACAACTCGCCTCCCTCCCAAATATAATAATAATAATTTCAGCAATTTTTTGAGGCGAGATTAAACAAATATCGCTAAATTATTTTCAATCATAAAACATTTGTACAGACCTTTATTCAAAATGAACTCGAGTGGGAAGCCAACAAACATGTTGAACCAAGAGCCAATGGTAAATGGTAAACAGTTACTCAAGTCATGGGCAAAGAGGTCACCGACTAATAACTTGAATGACTTCGTTAACCCATCTTTTTTTTTTTCTTTTCCGAATCCAACATGCTGACATTGTTTTTATAATAATTTTCCCTACATTAAAATACCTTCAGTTTTGAAACATTCAACTAAAACTAATCTTTGATCCCTCACAACTAAAGCAACAATACCACATATATTAAACTACAATGTGACTGAAAATCTAGCATGAAAGGAACCTTTGTTTGCAATCATCAAGCTCCTCCATAACTAAATATCACCCGAAGGTATAGTGCAACAGCTGAGTTTTCTGCCAGAGGAAAAGAAATGTAGCATAGTAGTTCTTATCGGCTGATAATCACTTCACAATAAATAGAGGCACGGTGCTTTGCGGTGACACTTCCAACTATTTTGGTGGAGTCAAACTCCAATTCTTTGAAATTTCTGTGGGCCTATAGAGATGACCACCTGAAAACAATGCTCAAGTATGTCACTCCTCCAATGCAAATGTAAAGAACAGATATTTTTGTTTCCTGTCTAAGACAGGAAAAGAAAACCAATGCTCGACAAGATAAACCATAATATGAGGACCATAAAAAGCGCTATAATCAACTACATATTATTATACTTACGTCAAAGAAATCAGAAATAGGAAAATAGGACCAGCAGGGCAGTGCAAAATGAAATGTTATCATAAACATGCAGCCCAAACTTGAAATTTTTTCTCACATGGATTTTTGGTAAGAACAGATGAGTTTTAAGTAAATATCACAGCACATGTAGACAATCTGTAATCCATTGTTACTTTCTCTGAAGAGAAAAGTAATGCCTAGAGATCTAGTGGCTCGACCAAACTGATATTTGCATCCATTTGCTCAACATTTAGAAGGATTTCATTCTATTAGTTGCAACACCATGAAGTCAAGCATCAATTAACATGAAATATCAACTAAGATTTAGGGTCTCAAGTTTTAATCAATGGAAACCAACAATTATCGTAAAAATGTCAAAAATAATCTAAGAAACTCAAGACATATCCAAGATAACATAACAAGATCATTCAGCGATTAATATCCGAACCACCTCGACGTGATACAAGGTGGATCCGCGAACGAGGTCCTTCAAACTTCCAGTTATCTTCATCCAAGGATTTAACCTCCTTATCAAGTCCAGCCATGAGGTCAGATTTCAAAACTGCAAAACAAGAAAGCAGAACATTCCATTCCTTATGTATAAGTACAGGAAGAATAAACAATATGATGCATTATAATTTGGCTCCAAAACTTCGACGTGATTAGATGTTCCGCTCTACTTAAACCAAAGATTCATCTATACCCTTCATAGTTTTGGAAAACACGACATAGTGCGTTTAAGGCTACTTATTAGTTCAAACCCGACAAACCCCAAAGAGAACATAAAGAAGTAATCAATCCATAGTAAACATAAAATCTATTAACTGAGAAAAATAATTGAGAGAAAACTCAGGAATCACAGTAAGTGCAATACTAAATACTCTTGTTATTCACAAAATTAAACTTGAAAGGAAATTACCATAACAATTGCGGAAGGAAGGAAGGAAGTAAAGTGGTGAATAAGGAAACTGAAATTACAGAATCTTAAAATAAAATGGTCAAAAAGAGACCTTTCGATGAATTTCACCCTAATAGTTAATAATAGAGTACCTTATTCATACCAATTGTGAAATGATCACATGAAATTTCAAGATTTTATGAAGATCACAGCAAATTAACGAGAAAGGAAGCAATTGAATGAACCCCACCTAGCATGGCCTCGTCCTTACGCTCTTGCGTCGAGATGTGATCAGAAAAATGGATATCGTCAGCGGAAACAGCCGCATTGCTGCCGCCGCCGCCGCCGCCGACAACCGCCGTCGTCGACATCGATGAATTAGCTGGTGACGAACTATTCATCGTTCTCCCAAATTTGATTTCTTAGATTTTCGCCTGTTAGACCAGAATCACCCCGTGTCCGTGTCTACGAGATCCTTAATTTTAAATTTAAACACCTTTTCGTCTTGTTACAAATTTTTTTACCCTAACTCTAAATTTTGTAAATGTTGATTATTTTATTTTTAATAATTTTGTAAAATTAAAAGTTTAGACCAAAAAAATCATAAAATTAAAAGTTAACGTAAATAATAATGAAAAAGAAAAATAAATTTCATTTGTATGGAACTTACTTCAATATATCTCAGACTCAGATTTACATCTATTATAATTTATAATATATCTTTTTTTATTAAAAATATATTTTTATTGTATTTGTACCAATTAAGAAATATATTTTTAAGTATTTATGTTAGAATTATATTTATTATAATTTTTAAAATTTTATGACAAGAATAAAATAATACAATTTTGTTACTTAGATTTAAAATTTTATTATTATTCTTTTAATTTTATTTAAATTAATTATTGATTTAATTATCATTTTATAAATTTTATTATTATTATTATTTATTGTATATTTAAATTTTTCATTTTTTATTTTAATTAAAATCATGTTTTTAATAAATTAATAGGATAATAATATTTATTATCTTATTTAATGTAATTATATTTAAAATTAGTTTTATAATAAATTTTTGTCACAAATTAATAAAAAATATTTATTATTTTTAAAATATTTTTTGATATATGAAAAATATTTTTAAATTAATATTAAATATGTTAATTTAAGATAATGTATGGAATTATAACCTCGTCTTTCATATCGCTTAGTTTTTCTATACTCTCATTAAATAAATATGATTTTTGATTTGATATTATATTTACATATAAATAATTTTGATTTCTTTTGTTTTTCTTTTCCCGTTTGTCTTCCTAAATAAATTAAAAGGTTTGTGCTTTATTTTAAATATTGCATTAAACAAATTTTTTCTTCTATTTTTAGTGGTTACATTTTTATATTTTAAACTTATCATAACATAAAATCGTACATATTTGAATAAAAGTAATAAATTGTAAAGTTATTTAAATTTCAAATGTTAATTTTTTTACCACTACTCATTATTTTTAACGTATTTAAATCTTAATTATATTTAATATTTCAGATTAAATCTAATAACAATTGTTTTAAAATAGTCAAGGTTACAAATAATGAGAATTTAATTTGATAAGTGACTTATGATAATTGTTCTCAATACATCATTCTTGAAATATGAAATATCATAGTTATAAGATAATTAAAAATAAATAATTTGATAAAAAAATTACTTAGGACTAATGGTTATTATTGTTACATAACACTTTTGAATAAATATTTTTTTTTATTACGTTACTCTAAGTTGTCTAAAAATAAGACAACAACTAAGAGAGTTTATGGAAAAATTGTTAAAACTGCATAAAACTATCATAAAGGTTTATGTACAAATAACAGGTAAACCTTTTATGGATTATATTCGAAGAAATAAAGAGGGATGATTTTATATCAACAGCAAAAGTTCAAGTCCACTGAATTGTTGATAGTATTATACTTTAATAAAAAATTAGTAGCTAAGATTATTCTCAAATAAAAATACAGTATTTAAGATTTAATTTTATTTTCTTAATCATTTTAATTTAATAACTTTTATCTGTATTAATTAATCTATTAATAAAATATAACTCATTTATAATTATCAAGTTAAGATTGATCTAAACCAACTCATTATGCATATACGATTCATCATGCCGTGTGTTACCCCTTTCATAGCTTAAACTAAAATACTTTTGTTTATTTGTGCATCTAATTGTTAGCTACAATAACAATGATAAATAATGTTTCACACCCTATAAATGCGCATGGAGAACCACAAGAGGATACCAAATGATTTTTAATTTCTTTTTACTTTTATTTTCTTCTTAGTCTTCTCTTGAGAGCAAATTTAAAAATAGGACCAATAATGCTCCTTTGATATTTATTTTTCAAGTTAAGCCTTACAACTTCATTATAAAATACATTTACATCAAGCTCTTGAAAAGCACCCATCCATCCAGAGGCATAGTAGAAACAAGAGCAGCAACAAAATCACTTATAGGAATTAGAATTTCTTCAATCCTTCGTTATTACACATATTGCAAGTATAAGAATATGTTAAATTATATTAAATGCAAAAATATCACTTTCTAAAAAATGACAAATATAATAACTTGGACATAGGAAGTGGAGAATAACTCACATCAAATAGTAAATTAATATTTAATATCATTAAAAATTATTATTTACAAAAAAGAATAATAAATTATCAATAATCATATTTTTAAAGACTCAAAAAATAACATTTGTCCTATTTTTTTCAGGTTAAATTTACAGTACCATGAGTATTGAGAGAGTTTAGTACCTTATCTCATGTGAAACAATCATAACTAATTTTATATTGGCATATAATGAAATCAATGATTTAATTAAAAACAAATTAATACGCTCTTATCTTTAAGGTATTAAAGAAATTATAACTGTTAATCTAAAAATAATATAAAATATCTTTTTAAGTTTATAAATACTACAACAAGCACTTTTTTTTATCGTAATACTTATTATATCCATTATTTTCTTTGTACTAGTAGTTAATGAGTATTTATTATTTAAAATAAGATACTTATTATAATACTCATAAATTTAAGAATATATTTTATACTATTTATAAATTAACAGTTATAATTCATTTAATATTTTAAAAATTAAAAGATATTAATATTTTTTAATTAAATCACTAAATTTTATTATTTATTAACATAAAATTAAAAATAACAATTATTTTATATGCAAAAGAAAATATCAAATTCTCACCTTACAAAGAGTACGATAAATTTTGTCTTAAAATAATTCCTAAATACAAAATAAAGTGAAGAAAAAGTGAAATTAAAAAAAGTTACATATAATTGATTTATGATTTGTGTAACATTTATATTTGCACAAAAATAATAATTTCACATTCTAAAAATAAGATATAAATTAAATGGAGAAAATTAATAAATGACATGATAAAAAAAAATAATAAAAACTATAATTAAAAACAAAAAAAATTGTGTGTACAAATACAAGTTTTATTATTTATAAACTATTGTATTCTCCATGTTCACGAGCTTGGTTAGACCGAGTGCTACTTGGGAAAGCGGGGCCCACCTTCTTTTATTTATTATTACCCTATGGGCGGAGTAATATGGACCTTTGGCTACTTTGTTAGTAACTTCGACACTTCCACTGTAACGTATTATTTACACACACAAAAATATATTATATTGTGATTTGGATGTAAGAAAGAAATAGAATAAAAGTTGATAAAATATAAAAATATAAAAAAAATATTAAATAAAAATTAAATATAAAAAATAGAACGTAAAAGTATTATTATTTACTTTTTAACTTTATTCGTTTATGTCATCGTCAAGTTATAATTTCCAATAAATGTATCAAAAGTGGTGGTGGGTATGGGATGAAACCGGTGTTTTAGAAGAAAACAAAAGGCAGCGATATAAAATTTGCCAAATGAAAAGTGGTCATGAGAGGAATTTTTTTATTGTCAACCAATTCCATTGAAGAATTAGTAAGCTTACTCGTTAAGCAAATTAGCCAAGCATTAGTTCAACTTCTACCCCACCACCAACCACTGTACTAAAAAAGCAAGTGAAAAAAATTTATCTATATGTTTCACAGAAAAAAAAACTGTGTGTGTTGCATTATTGTTATGTTTTGCCACGTGACTTCATGGACATAATGAATAATATAATTCTGTATAAATGAAAAATAAATCTATTCGTATAAAATATAATAGAGCATATTATTATTTTTTTCACCTCAAAGAACAAAGTAACGTAACATATTAAATATGAGTTGACATTAAGACTTTAAAATATAAAATAACAGTAAAAATAGAACAATGAATTGATTAACTTTTGTAAAACTAAAAATCAAATATTTTTAAATAAAAAATGAAAGACTAAAATATTTAACCTATACAATCTAGATAGTTAACTAAATAATTTGTTTATTTTCTTTCGCGTCTTTAACCATTTGTTGGCCGTAACCCAAATATTAAAACATTGCGTGAATGGTGACAATGACGCATGCTATTCACAAATGCATGGAAAATTTTCTATAATATTTCATCGGGACACGTAATATATTAGAAGTTGTCAATTTCTTTATCCATACATTTGAGTCATCATATTTAATAGTCAATAATAGCACAGAAAGCAACTATTTCATGAAATGAATTTATATGAATTTTTATATTAAATGAGTTTATATCGTTCAATAGAAAGTGATAAGAACACGCTTCATTGGCCATAAACTTACCAATGATAAAATTCACAGGGACTACTTATGCTAAATTTGTTTTAACATTTTACCAGATGGGCGATGGCGTAAGGACACCCAGTCACAACCTTCGGTAAGTCTGAGTTCAAATATAAAAAAAAAAAATTGTCAAGTAACATGTTTTTAAGTATTAATTAAAATTTATTAAAAACAACAAAAATATAAAAAATAATATTACAAAATCTTTATAGTTTTTAGTAAATTTTAATCAATAACTAAAAATATATCATTAGCATTATTCTGAAAATAAAATCTATATTAAATTACCATATCATTGGTTTAATCTTAAAGTTTTAGGGTTTTATTCCTAAAAACATTCTCAAACATTTTAAGTGTTGGTTTAAATTAATTTATTTTATATTAAAAATAATTTATCAAAACTAAACATGCAATATCAATGTTTCATGGTATAACAAAGAAAAGAAGTATGTAGCCAGAAAACAATTGACCAAATTCTCTTCCATATATATAACGTTTCGAAAGGCTTTAACATATTTTTAATAAATAACTATAATTTCTATAAAAACTATTATTTATTAACTTTTAATAAATAAAGTTAGTAAAAATTTAAGTTCTACATTCAATAATATTAAATAAAAATAAATTTACCATGTTATATTATTTTTAAAAAAATTTAAAATACATAAAGACACATAATAAAAACTAATATATAATAATAAATATTAAAATTAAATAAAATGTTTTCTATTAATTTTTTATAAATATTTTTATAAGATGAAAAATCAATTTTATCATTTTATGTAATTTAATTGAGAGTGATTTATAAAAATATAAAAGGAAGTATTATAAGACTCAAATTCTATTACTGTGTCAAGGTCCCCAGCAGGGAGCGCATGATTGGACACGTGTCTCGCAACGTGTGTGTCGATAACGCAATATAATCGATCAAGATAATAAGAAAAGCAATGTAGCAGAATTGAAATGCGATCCTTATCCTTTCTTTGAATATGATTAGGGACCAGCAATGAAGGAAAAAAAACAACAAAATACATATTCAAATTTTGTAAATATCCTTTTTTACTATTTTTCATCAAACACAAACTTTTACCTTAATAAAAAAAATAAAATTATTAAGATAAAATTATAATTTTAATGAAAAAAAACCAGAAGTATAGAAATTTTGTTTCGATCAAAATCCTCCAAGTCGGGTCCGATGTAAGAGACACAATACATCTCTTGCACAGGATCGGGCCCATCATTCATTCTCCATTATCCGTGCCACGACGACGTTTCCTCAAACTTCCGACACACATACCCCTACCGAAAAAAGCCCTTCCACTTGAGTTTCTTCACCTAAGCACCGACACTTTAACAGCACTTTCTCCGTCCCACTTCCCAAACAATGACACGTGTAAACCCACCACCCAACCTCCACGGCAAAGCCGGGTTGCACGGACTTCTTATGCATCCTGCGGTAATGAAGAGAATCTCATTCTGTTTCTAACAGAACTACTACCTGACCCAAATTCACATTATCATCAAAATACTGCCATATCCAGCTGGCACTCAACCGCAACCCGAGACGCAGTAACGGTCCCAAAGTCCAGCTGTATTCCAACACCCGGCGCACCCACTGCTATCCTACGCCGTACCACAAACCCTCACTCCACTTCCCCTCTCCCTTTCTTTTGCTTCCGCGGACAGAGAATTGGTAATACAAATAGTAGTAAAATGATAACAAATTAACAGGCAAAATAACATATGCTAAGATCCAAGAGGATTAAATTAATTTTCATTTTATTTTTCCTGAGCGAAAAGAAAAGCAATTCAAATATACAGCAGGAACAAGAATATATATATAGAGAGAGAGAACAGAGGGAAGGATCACGTGGGAGTGAATTGAGTGTAGGCTTAAAAATCGGCGAGTTTCCTGTGAAGCCGAGATTTCGGTATTTGCTGCAAACTACGGAGGCTTCGGATCGCCAAAACATCGCCTCTTTTTACATCCATGTAATGCCCTATGTCGACACCAATCTTCGCCGCGGAATCTACAACAAAAACGGATCAATAAAAATAATTAAACAAGAAACAGAAGAAAGAAAAAGTTGGAATATGCATTGTGGTAGTACGCACCTAAATGATGGATTGGCAAACGGTTGAATGGAGTGAAATGATTCAAGTCTGATGGAGAGGGAGTGTGAGAGGAGAGGTAGAGGATGAAGAAGCAGAGGAGAGTGAGGAGTGGAATGAGGTGGATGAACTTGTGAGGAGGAGAAGGGGGAGAGGAGAGACGGTGAGGCTTGGGAGCATCGTCGTCAGTGACGACGGTGTCTTCCTTTGGGTGGAGCTTGGAAGCTGGTGAGCCTAAAGACTGTCTCTGCATCGTCTCGTGTCACAAATACACAAAGCGGCTGCTACAAAGGGAATGGGATAGAGACGCTGAGTGTTTGTTGTCTAGACTCTAGACTCAATTTTATGCATTTTCTTTTTTTTCTTAAATGCGAGATTTACTCTCGTGATCTGATTTATGCTTCGTATCCTATGCTAATTGATTGCTGAGTTTGCTTGTCCTTCTTTACCCTTTTTCCGCTGTTTCCTTAACTTTTACTCTCTTTCATGATTTTTTCTTTTTCGCATTTTATAAATTCCCCTGTTTTCTTTTCTTTGTTTTTATGTCATTTTTTTTACTTATCTGTGGTTGTTTGTATGCTCTTTTTGGGGCTCCAGTATAATTTCTTTAATTTTTTAACATAAAAAATATTAGCCGAATGAAACCCGTTTCTAGTTTGACAACATGTTAGCATTAGCAAAGAACAAACTAATATTCGTTACTTATCATTAGTTAACTAAAAGATTATTTTAATAATTTTAAAATGTTAAATACTTTTTTTGCATGTTTAGTTGTCTGACTTTTTTTGTCTTGAAGCATGTTAAAAAAATTATTGATATTAAATGCTGGTAGATTTTTTTTCCTCCTCCGTCTGCGACATTGATGATATAATACCTAGCTCCTGGCAGCTGATGACCGAACACCAGACAATTAAGATTCTTCTGTTATTTATTTATTTTGGTCTATAATCAGGATTGTTCGAATCAAGCCCATATAATACCAGAATTAAAGGAAGACCCAATGGCATCGGAGCAACGATCAAGGCCCAAATAGACTTATCCCAACCAAGCCCAAATATGAGTTACCTCGATGCAAGTCTCATGAACAGATCCTGCACCCAAAAAAATCGCCCCAACAATTCATGACCAATTGTTGACCCAAAAAACTAATAATGACTAATTGAAATAAAATTCTCATGTTGACTGAAAAAGTAAATAAATAAATTCTCATGCATATTTTCCTCTCATATACCCCTCTATATGATTATAAATGGACATGGGGAACTAAAATATAATATTTGAGGGACAAAATCAAAATTGTATTTTAGAAGGGTATTTATATTAGAAGGGCTGTGTTTAGAAATGAATTTTTGGAGAAAAAAAAAGTAAAATTTTACTTTTAATAAAAATTCTATAATTTAATACTTTAAAAATAAATTAAATAAAATGACAAGTTGGCAAATTTTTTATGCTGTAAAGTTTTGCTAATTTTTTTAAATATTATACAATTCTTTTTTAGTTAATGTTAAATTTGCTTTCTCTTTTTTTCAATGTTATTTTAAACAACATATTTAAAAGAAAATATAAAAATTTAAGATTAAATTTTATAGTATAATGTAAATTAATTAAAAGATAAAACTTAAAAGCAATAACTTAATGTTTATTTTTTATTTTTAGAAGTAAATTATAGTATCAATTTATACTAATTTTATTTTTAAAAATAAAAAACTATTTTTAAGAAGTAAAATAATCGGGCTCTTAGATGTGTTATTCTTTAATTAATATTAGAGCTTTTATTTGATAATAAGTACTTAGTGTGATACCATAAATTTTAAAAAGTATTCTATAACTTCTTTTAGATTAATAGTTATGATTTTTCTAATATATTAAAAATAAGAGAATATTAATATTTATTTTTAATTAAAACACTATTTCTATTATTTATTAGTATAAAATTAATAATCAAGATTGTTTCACGTATGAGAGTACTAAATCTTTTCAATTATAAAGATACTGTAAATTTTAACTATGATGATCTTTATTTTTTGATTGTGTGTATTATTAAGGTAAAACAAAAATTTTAATTAAAAATAATACTTAAAATCATATACTATTGTGCCCAATGTTTTGTTTTTAATTAAATCAAAAGGTGATTTATTTTAAATGCACATAAATTAGTCAAGACATATTGCTAACGATAGGGAAAATTTTTGTGTAAGACTATATCACTAAGGAGAAAAATTTATTCTCTAAACACTTTCAGTTAATGCAAAAGCAAAAGAAAAAAACTTTTCAACCCCCATAAATTTTTACTGTTACGGAATCTAAACGAAACAAATTGTTATCTTTAGAGAGCTTTTACATAATAATAGTAATTGCACAAAAATACATGAGGATAGAGGACTTGTTAATGCATAAGAAATAATGTTACAGATAGTAACTCTTACAGTTTCGTTGTTTCATCCTAGCCCTTGTACCGAATGATTTCACATTAATAAGTTAGCAAAAGTGGATCAAATACAAAAGTTACAACAAGAGCATTGAAGTAAACAGGGATTTATAGTGCATGAGCGACATTAAATGCCGCAAATAAAGTGTAACCGTGGAAGCACATCTCTTCACTTGACAAAGAAACTCAATCATGGATGCATTGGCTAAGCATGATCACTCTATGAATTGTAGTCTCAAGTTGTTTGATGTTTTATCCATGTATCTTTTTTTTTTTTTAATTTCTCTACTTGTATATGATGTGGATGACTTATTTATTGTTTGCCTTCGGTTGATAACTCCTTTGAACGTTAAAAACTTGATATTTTATACCATCACTGCGCCCTATTTTGTTGAACTTTCTCCATTCAACAAAAAAATTGACGAGAATGTCTTCGATTCATGGTTGAGAGAGTCTGACATATACCTGTACTTGGTCAAAATGCCATAATATAGTTGGTACATGAAAGGCACAAAGTTGTATAAACTTCTGGCGGCATCGACATTGGGCTAGGCAAGAAGGTTGTGAGGCCCATATAAGAAGCCCATAGTCAAGAAGCATGCCAGTGGCAGGTGAGGGAAGTAGAGAGAAAGACACAAAAATAAGGTCACCGAGAATTAAAATTCTGGAGTGCGAATGAGAATTCAAACAGAAACTTGCGCGACAGGAAAAAGAATCGTCAAGATTAGAAGTTAAAACAGGAGAATTAGAAGATTGAAACAGAGAGAGATAGTTATAGAGTTAGGTGCAATGGTGCTGTGGGAGATAACACTAGGAACCGCCTATTTCTTGGGTCTGAAGCGAACTTACAGGCTCGCTCTCAGGATTCAGCGCAGGATCGTAAGCCCTAAGTACCCTAAGATTCGCCAATTTCTTCACAGGTTCGTTCCTTTTTCCATTCAATGTCTCAATGCGGAAATGGATAATCGAAGACGGGAAAATCAGATTCGGAATAATCTGCTTCTCTCGCAATTTCGATATTTCAAATCCCTCACCGACATTTATAGAATAGCAACAGCAAGAAGTAATTATTTCATTGTGATATTTCTAAGTTTAAATAATTACATTTATCGAATGCATTGTAGCCTCCAGATCCAATTTTGGAGCCAATAATTCAGTGATATTCCTCTGAGAATGATAAAATGCATTATAAGGTCAATTATTGTAGTAGTGTTAGTTTTTGTGGATTTCATGAAATGATGCTGATTACTAAGTTTGGATTCCTTCTTAATCTTAGATGAAAATCTTTGTGATGCATAATTGTTATGTTTAGAGACTCACCTTTCACTTTTGTCTCGCAGACGAACCCGTGCTGTATTTGATGTAGCCATCAGAGTTCATCGGAGCATTCAAGAAAGAGACATAGAAGTGGGACGGAATTTTGGAAACTTCATCTTGCGATGGCTGGATCGAATGAAACCATCGGCTCAGATTCGGCCACCTTCCAATGGTGGGTCAAGAGGAGAAAGTGTGGCAAAGAATGCAGCACCTGGCACTTCCAACAACAATAACAAGAGTTCCGGTAATTCTGGAATGTTCAAAAGGGACTCTGGTAGGCATTTTTTTATCTCATCAAGGACAGGTCCTTTTCGTACCGCTGCAAGGACGATGCCACCGCCAAATCCTGTTGGGACTACTACCATCCATGGCAGGCACCTCAGCTTCTATAGTCCTGAAGCTGTTAGATCAAACTACAGAGTAAATTGGTCAGGTGGTGTTATCAGGAAGGACATTTTGCAGTGGATGCTGCATAACTAACTGTCCCTTTAGATTCTTTTCTGTTGGCTTCGTGGAAACAGTTTTTGATCTCGGTGGGGGGAAAAGTGAGTGAATAATAATGTTGGTATGGTACATGTTGTAAACTGACGGTGATAGAATCCCCAAATTTCTGATTTTTGTTAAGGCCTTTTTGTAGACTATACTAGACTGTCATTTTGCATAACGAGCGGTTATGCATTGGTTTTCAGTTTTGGTTAAAAGAACTAGCTGTTAATATCACAAGTGATCTCTCTGTTGATTAATAATTGTGGAGATCGCGCATTTCTGTTATAATTATGTTGTTCCCAGCAAATTTTGTTTGTACAACTTGTCTAATTTTTGCCTACAAGTTCATTTTATGTATTATATGTATAATATATACTCTTGATACATCCATGTTGAGCGGTAATCCATGTTGAGCGGTATTCTTCAGGTGCACGTTACCCTTCAATTCATAACGGGTATCAGGCTTAAATATAGATGCGAGTGGAATCGTAGCAAAGTAATATCTTAACTTGAAATACAGGGTGATGTTGCCATATATTGTTTAAAGCTGAATCTGACAAAGCCTGAACATATAGAATTCGTATTCAAAATCACGATATTGTGTTCTCAATTTATGAATGAAAGTAATTTTAACACCATTTCCATTATTTCACGCTTATTTGACATTATATATAATTTTGTTATACCGTATTTATCTATGAGACTATGACTCTCCTCCAGCAGAGATGTCCTTTGTTCTATTGGCTGATGCCGTAGACGTCTCTAATCCCCGTTTCATTAATTTGTAATTTTCTTGTTGGCCTCTTGTCCCCTTCTTTTACCAAACCAAAAAAATAAAATAAAAATAACAAGACTTTCTTAATTAAATTGTAAAATAAAGACATTTTTCTTTTAGCAGAAAGTTGATGAGACCTTTACAAGTGTTTCTCTCGAAGTGCTACGTGTCGCTATCCAGCATCTGTTACTGCATTGACTTCCAGCAATTCAAGCTTATCACGGTACACGCAGAGACAAGATAACAAAGCGACTAATTAACCAAGCATCATCTACGACTACGTTTCGTTACATTGACCAGCCGATTTAAAGTAAATTGATTAAATTATTGTCAATGGCAACGCATTCCATGGAATCGTGTATATAAAGATATTAAAAAAATATATAATTCTCAAGGTAAATATTTAGGTGATAAATAAATCCCTTATATATGTTCACCACTGTTCCAATTTGACAGAACAGACTTTATTGGGAAAACTACTCACTTCAGTGATTTTCTTTTTCATTTGAAAGATATTAGTTGTCAATTATAAGTTAGAGAATTCTCTCGACCCTTAGCACACACCCAAAAGAAATATATCTTTCGAAGAAAGATGAGCAACCAATAACAATCAACCGAACTAGCTAATTAGCTATGTACGTTTTGAGTGAACTACGAAATTTCAAATATGTAGAATAGCAAGCGGCATGTACAAACAATAGAACCCCTTTTTGCGCATCTTTTAATCTAGCTCCCATGCTGAGGCACATAATCTTTAAAGTAGCTTCATAAAGTTGATTTCATATTCCTTTCCCAAATCAATATTTCACCGAAGCTAATAAGGGGTTGACAACATCGTTCCGACAATATATAGACTAGAGAATTGTAGCCTAACATAAGCCATCCCTCCTTTAAATATACAACAGCTTGAGAAGACATAAAAAAATTGAGAGATTTTGAATAAACCTTGCACATTATTCTCGGGGAAGAGTAGGAGGATGGGATGGGAGAAGAGTATAATTGCTTTCCTACTGATCAAGAAGGGGGCTCCCTTCTCTGGCAAGGACAAAAAGACCACCATCCCCCCTTGATATTCTCAAGTCCTTATCAAGATATGTGGTAAGAAGCCAAGAGCTTGTCCTCTCACCAGGAATGGGAATCTTAAGAGGTGGCTGACCAGAAATGATGCGCGATATGTTTTCCACCAAATCCTGCAGAGGACCGAGGGATTGTTGCACAGGTGGCAGGCTAATCTTTTGGCCAAAAATGTCTACATTTTCTGGTAGTTCAATTTTAGACTTTATCTCCGGAGGTTGTATTGTACCTTCTTTAAATGTGACCTGCTTCCATTTAGAAATGTTAGCAAGTTTTCAAGTCATCGACAATTTAAGAGGTTCATATGGACGCGGAAAACTAACGACTAACATACAACATACAGTGGCATACAAATTGCAACATGACTAACATTAAGCAACGTAAAAATCAGTAAAAATCATATTTGCATTAAAGAATTGCAGCAACTATTTATTAACCTAGTTAAAGTACAAATATAATAAGATGAACTTGTGAAGTACCACCACAATACAATGCATATAATATGGCAAGAATAATAAGTATTTTCATTTAACATACTTATATTATTGCCCCGTAGTAAGAAAACTCAATTGTCAACTTTTACAACACAAGAACATAACAAAAGAGCTTATTAAAGAAAAATTTAAGTTAGAAGAGCTTAAATTCCTAATTCAACATCCATTAATTAGGTAATTTACAACCGTACAAATTATCCTTTATCTTCTCCTTTATATTTCTTTTGGCCATACCAATATAGTCAAAGGTGCCAAAAGGCACAGCTGAGGAATTAAGGGGAAGTGTCAGAAATGTCGGCACCTCTTGCTGATCAAGTCTTTACCCCTTTTGCAAGATGCATGCCTCTAGTGCCTTAGGCATGCCTTGGGTGAGGCATGCCCTTAATGAGTTGTTAATAATTGCCAAAAAAAAATAAAATCATAAAACCCAGCCATCTAACTTGAGTCTGACACTTTGGCGCTGAAAGGAGCAACCAACTCGGTTTTGTAAAACATCTTAATCTTTTATTTTTGCATAAAACATTGCCATTGCAGGTAAAATAGTTAATTTATACGGTAAATTAGTGCAACATAATGAAACATTTTACTCTTCTTTTTCTTTTTTTAATGTTAACATCTTTCATGAATGAGGAATGCACATTTTGGTGCCTTTCACCTTAAGATGTTAACTCCTAAAATTTTGGTGCCTTTCACCTTTAGTGGCTGAGCCAAATACATTTTACCTCTTCAAAATTTTGCTTTTGTAAAATACTAAGGTTTTCATAGGAATACCTGTATTCTTGTAGGGCTTCGAACTTCAAATGAGGCAGATGCACTGAAAGTCAGAGAAGCAAAAGGGCTAGACAACGTCGTGGAGTTAATAATGGTGAAACTACTGGTATCAATTGTTTGCGAAATCTTGTCCACCTTCAACAATGGTAATCTTCCTGCTGCTAGAAGAGGCAATAGTTCCGAAGATGCGGTGTACCTGACATGAGTTTGACAAGCAAAGAAACAGTAAGGGCTTCAATTAAGAATTACTAACCCGAGACATTTTGAGTTTGTTTCATCAATACCAACAATACTTTTGTTTCTGATAGAGGACACCAAGATAAGCACATAAACAAACACTTTTTTCAGTCACGATATATAGATTTGACCCAAAACCCTCTTCTCTTTTCAGTGTAAAGTTTGACCATTAAGTCATCGAATTATAAAGATACTTCAGAGATTTGAAATTATATGTATTATATATGTAAACAGTGGTTACTTGTTACTCATTTTTATCCATAACTTTCAAGTTTCAATCAGCCAGTACTGTAATATAAGCACGTTAAACTAAACATGAATCCAATAAATACCTGAGAAAGTAAAAGAAGCCCAAGGCAATCTAATCTACTTTTTAAGATTCTTAAAAATGGTAAAAAAAAAAAAAAGAAGAAAAAAGCAGAGCAAAATATTCTCCCCCATGACGCTACGATTGTAAAACAATTCATTTGAAAATGAAGTGATGAGTATAAACATCACGAGAGGCATTCGTGCATTACATAACATGATATTATAAATTATTCAGACTTACAGCAACACCCAATTTCCATTGAGAAGCGCGGGTTCCTCCACCGGGGCGAGGGTAGGGTTCGCCGCTTCCAACTGAGTCACCAACTCGGACACCTCAGCACGAACCTCCGACCCGGCCCGAATCCCGAGCTCGGTCCCATACACAGTATCCACCAGAGCACGCTTCAGCCCTTCGAGCTTGTCACCCACTCCCTCCTCCGCCGGAGCATCGGCGGAGGTGGCCGGTGTTCCATTTCCGCCGTTGACATAGCCGCCGGCATCTCCTTCCTGCCATTCGTCGTCATTCTTGGGAGGGTCCGAATCGGGAAACTTGGAGGACGAAGATTCAGGCTCGGGATCGTAGTCCTCACCCCACTCGTCGGAGATCTTGGCGGAGGGCTGGTCGGAGTCGCCGGCGGCGGAGGGGCTGGAACGAAGAGAGGGGAATCTGGGAGACCGAGGAGAGAGAGAAAGACGAAAGTGAAGAGAGGAGAGAGAAAGGGGTTTAGGGTTTTGTAAGAATAGGAAAGGGGTGCGGAAAGTGGAGCAGAGAAGAGCCATCGGAGTTAGGTGCTGATACTCTGAAACCAAAATCTGAACTTTTCGTTTGTGTCACTAGTTTTTACAATATTTCTGTGAACACAAATATAACTAACTAGAGAAACTGTCCAAAATGAACCACCCAGATTCTAAATACAAAATTGTTCAAAAAACACTAGAATGGGTTTGAATTATACTATTTCTTTTTAAATTATATGGTGGTTGAATTGCCTTTAAAAACTATAATTTGATCATTCAAAATTCTTTGTGTTGTTATTTAAATGTGTTTGATAATTCAAATTATATTTTCAATAAAAGGGTACAAAATTATATAACAAGCAAGGAATTAAAGATTATTTAGGATGAAATTTGATAATAAAACGATATTTCTATTAATTTAATAATTAATTATTCTAACAAGTAATTGAACAGATTATAGATGGATGGAAATTTCTAAAGTGTATTTTGCAGTAAGAAAAATAATTTTTCAGACACCATGATATATTATTTACAATAATAATGGTTTTTAATCTGTTGATTGGTTATGAGTTATGTAAGTTATATTTTGTTAATTTAATGTAAATGAGTGAATTTATATGATTAAACTTTTTAATAATTACCTAATGTGTCAATTTATATTTAGAAGTTTTATTTTAGTGTAGCTCTTTTATCTCACAATTCAAAAGTATATAAAGAAATATTTAAAGATTTCTAACAATGACCTGCGATTTGCTTTGTTCCTTAGCCAAAGACTAAAAATCAAATAGGATAACTTGAATTCATTTTAAATATAATGAACAAAAATACTTATTGTAATTAAGTTTAGATATAAAAAATAAAAATTAACTCAAATATGGTATTAAACAAAAATAAAATAAGTATTTTGAACCATTTTCAAATTGTAATTATAACAATTAAATGCTATTTCAAAATTACCACAATTATGATTTTTATTTAATAATTATAGTGACACAAGACACATGCATCTCTAAAAGAAACAGTAATTACAATTTCGAAAACAACTTCAGAATTATATTTTAAAATTTTCCTAAAAGTAATAAAATATATAAAGGAATGTAAAAAAATGTGATAGATATTTTATTTAAAAAATAATTTTTTTAAAGCCTCACAATAGTATAAAAAAAAATATTTTAAACAAGCTAAAACAAACATACATATATATTGAACCAATTAAAATGACTTAACTTTTATTGTTTTTTTATTGTTAGTTCATATTGTCAACTTTTACATTTAATAATTATAATTATAAGCATGACTTTCTAAACTGTAAAAATTTTAAATGCGACTTAACAATTTATAATAACAATTAAATATGTCATTAATTATAATACTATTAATGTTTTTGACTTTTTTAGTGAAAATTAAAATTTATCTAAATATTACGAATTTTTTTTTAATATTAATCTTTATATGGTAATTACATACACTTTAATTATAATTAATATACATTTAAAAGTATAAATTAAAAAATATTAAACATATTTTTATTAAATATTTTGAATTATCATAAAAATTATTGTATTTTTTTTTATAATCTTACATAACTATGTTTATAATTTTAATAAAATTTTAATTTATAGTTTTTTAGCATGTATTCTTAAATAAACATTAGATAAATCGTTAAAAATATCATTAAAAATACTAATCACATTATAAGTTGGTTGAAAAAAAAGAAAAAGTAACAGTGATACTAGCAATGACAAGTCAGCGCAACAGGGTCCAATGAGTGGCTGTGATGATAGTAAGAGACGGCCGGTGAGTGTATCAAATTGGTTTACTTAGAAAAGGGGTAGTGGGAATTGCAGAATCTAAAGAGGGGAAACGCCTCGGTTCTCATCTTCGTTTTCTGGCAACTCTCCCTCCCATTCGCCGACCTTTCCGGTTTGGGTATTTTGCTCATACCACCCTATCTCTCCTCCAATTCGGTACACCAGGAGAATTTTAAATTAAAAAAAGAAAAAAAAAAGAGGTGAACGATTTATCTTTGGTAAATAGGTAACTCCGTTGTTTTGTGTTTGCCCACTAAGGTAATTTCTAAACCTTCTCTTCATTCCATTCCTTTAGTTTTTCTATTATGTGTTTTTTGATTCAGAATTTTGTAAGTGCTGAGGGTTTTGAAAATTTTTCGTGTCTGGTTGACTTTGGGGTTTGGGTCAAGGATTAGTAGATCAGGGTTGGTTTTGGTTGCTTTTGGTTTTTGAACTGATTTTGATGTTTTTTCCGTCATTTTTTTAAAGGTTATTTTGCTATTGGAAATTATATATTGATAGTGTGTTTTTTTGTTTGGTGGGGGACGAGGGAACATGTGTTGATTTGTTGATACGATTGATGTCTTTGGCTGTGGTTGTTGACTGCCAAGGCTTTGCTCTTTTAGTCATGCAAAGTGTTTTTTGTATTTTAATTTTCATGATTTTTATAGTATTAAATTCCATCATCAGGAGCAGAGGTGTTTCGGGGAAAAGCATGTACAGTATGAACACTAACTGCAGTGCTGGGTATGCGTAAATTCGTTTATATATGTGCCTTTTTGTCAATTTTATTGTTTTTCTTAAATTTGTCTGATTTGTGAATTTTTTTTATGTATATGTTTAGCTGTTTATCTACCTTGCACAGAAATGGGTATGATTTCCAGTATGGCTATGGGTATGAAATTTAATATGGATTTGATTTCCAGTATGGTAACTGGTATGGATGTGAGCAGGAGATACGTAAGACATATCACTCTTTTTCCAAATCTAAGACACGGGTGTGGATATAGAAAGAGAGATGTGGTGAGGGGGGGGATTTAATGTAATGAAAAATGGAAAAATGGAGCCCAATGCTGTTGTTCCCCAACACCCATGTCTACCGAAACAGCTCTGCAGCATCCCCTTCTGTTAGTCAGAGGAGATAAAACATTTAGCTCACCTAAAAGAGGTAATGGCTCACAGGTGAAGGAAAGATTCGGTTGAAGGGGAGCTGCACTCGTGTGCTGTGAACTTGGACAGAGGACTTCAGTGTGACATAGAACCCTATCACTACTGACCTCAACTCACTGTGAAACAGTCACACGGACCTACCTCAACCACTGTTGGTTCTGGCTCTCCAACGTGGTCTCAACCTGACCTGAAGTCTCAACTCCACTGTCATCTCACCAAACTGAGCTGCATCCAGCTGCATACCCTTTTTATTGAAAAAACAAAAATCAGACTTAACTAGTATGTGTTGGGACATATCCAGCACATACCTGTAGCTGATGTGTATCTTGCTCCCTAAACATACTATATGTGTGGGACGTTGCCGTACCAATGCTTTCAGAGCTGTTTTTGCTTTATTATTTAGTTTCAACTTTCAAGCTCTGATTGTACTAGTTTAGCTGCCATGTTATGCATTGTAGTCAGAATCATACTAAACCTGATGTGATTTTGTTTGGATCCAATTGCAAGATACGAGAGCTGAGTCCTACATTCAAAATATGGGATTTTACTGTAGAGTTTATAAGGCACTGGGCCTCCAACTACAATGGTTAGTTTTTGTATTGAGGTCCTCCCAAGATTCTTATCAGATTCATACAATTTGACATGATGCTGAGATGCAGGGATTTATATTGCACACCAAATTATTCTCGGCGCTGAATCACACTGTAAATCTCATGTATTGCACACAAATCACATGAAACATAAATAGTTGTGTATCACACAATTCTGTACCAATTGGATCATGCTTGAAATCAGGTTGGTGTGTGTGTGTGTCCTGGTTCAGAAACCCCTTAAAAATCTTTTTATTATTCTCATTGCTCCCAAAGGTTGGGAACTTGGAACTGAATCAGAATTGGGGGGGGGGGGGGGGAGAGAGAGAGAGAGAAATATGGTGCTGAAGCTTGAAGATGAAAGCAATGTAGTTGTTTAGGTATTTTGAAATTTTGAAATAATAATTAAATTATATTTTCTGTCATTTTTAATTTTTTAGGGCCTATAGAGCTGAATTTGAAAAATTAGTGGTTTTTTGTCATTATTTTGAAGTTTACTTTTTCTCTTCGTTAGTTATAAAGTTAATTATTTGATAGTAAAGTAACAATGTCTAGATTTTTTTGTATGTTACAATACTTCTAAGTTTATCATGAATCTTATGATTTATGATTTGAAAATAGGCCTTCGAATATGAATTCCATTTAATGACCGTAGTACTATGTGTAGCCCGTTCTTGTATAGTGAAAATTTGAACAACATCTTGAGTCATGAATAGAGACTAGGTTTCCTCAAAATCCTGAGATTCTACCATATCTAGGACAGGTTGAAACTTGTGTTTAGTGCATAAATTATGAGTCCACAGGATGACAGGAAATGAGCCAAGTTCCTCTTGCAATTTTAACAAAGACACCTCAGTCAATAGGTGTTTATTTCATAGCTCTTTTAGGGAGCATAGGTAGAGTTAAAGCCAGGGCTGGGTTTCATAGAATGCTGCTGCTATAGAAGGAAATTTCAGTCAACTTTTATTTGGGCTTTTTTGGTGATAGTTTAAAATAATAGATCCAGTATTCTTGTTGAATTGAGATTATTATTTTCTATTCCTTTGCTTGTCCATTTATCATTCATTTTATACAATGGGATTATTCTTAGATTTCTTGGTGTTATTGAATTTTGTAATTTGTTAGTTTCTTTTTCCCCCTATCCTTCATTCATATTTGTTGTAGCATAAAACAAGGGATTGATGCCTGCTTTTCTGGAGAAATTGTAGCATTGCAAACTTGCAATTACAAATAATAGATCTTTTGGACTATTATATGTCCGTTCCTATTTGACTTCATTGGACTGTTGAGATGTAAACTCCTGTTAATTGGGGCTTGGAATGGAAGCACGGACTATATTTGAAAATCTGTTAATGTTGAGTTGCACATCTGTGTCTTGGCTACAACTGTATAAGATGAATCTCCACCGCCAGCAGATTTGTAAATTTAGAACAGTCAACAGTGTTTATTTTATCGGTTCCAGTCTGTTCTGCTTTGATTTTAGAATGTGTTGTCTATTATGTAGTCGCTTGACTAGCATGTGACCTTTTGATGAGGTCTAGGCTGCATGATATTTATATGTTAATAAACCTAATATAAACGATTAAGCACTATTTTTCATCTCTATCCTTGAATTTTATATATCTTTTGAACTTGTATTTTATTGGGTGGGTGGTGGTGGGGTGTTGGGGGGGGGGGGTCTTTTGTTCTCATGAAAATCTAGTAGTGACATTACACCGTTAATAAATGTTTGATGTACAATTGAATAAATTTCACATTTTCACTTGGAATGAATTGCCATTATCATTAACTTCGTTTATATTTAAGGCCTTTTAAGTTAGTGGACTGTCTTTTGTATGATGCTGGTTACTCTTTGATCATATTTTATTAGTTCAATAGTCTGTTTTTTATAATCTTGTTGGAGATAGTACTTATGCAAGTATATCAGATTACTTGTTTTGTTATGCAAGAAATGCTTTTATTGATTAACTCCTTATACTTTGTTTTCTTAACTTTATACTGATGAGCACGTGATCCTTTATGTATTCTGTCATTATTCTAAAATGTTTTAAATATCCAGGAAGTACCAAACATTCTTCATGTCAGGATCTTCCCCATTGCTGCTGCAGTTTGTTTGAAAGTGCTCAATGTCTAGGGTTCTATTTAACTGCTGCACCTGAGCTTTTATGTTTAAGCGTGTGTACAGATATTGGTCTAGTAGATAGAAATGGAAGCAAAAACCGCAAAGGCATTGGATAGGGTTGCACTCTATCTGAAGCGAAAACGAGCTGCCCGATATGCTATGCATCTTGGGGGAGCTTCACAACCAGTGCTACGTAATTGGCCTTCTTTTATGTCACCAACAAGCAGGGTTGTGAAACAGATGAGATCAGGCGAATATAGGAACAAGCATACAAATGCTGGTCCTCATATTGGACGGTCCTTGATTAGGCGTTTTTTTAGTTACAAAAAGAGTGGGAGGCCAGAACGTTTGATGTTCTATAAGAATGGTGAATGGTTGGACTTTCCTAAGGATGTTGTTGACTTGGTCAAGAAAGATCTTGAAGTTAAGAAGGCAGCTGTGGAGATAGAGTTAAATGGGTATCATCTTGTGTTAGATTTTTTACATATGTATCAGGTGGACTTGAAAACTGGTTTGCAACAACCTATAGCTTGGATTGATGAGGCAGGGTGCTGCTTTTTCCCTGAAGTCTACGCTGCTTCTGATGAAGAACCTTATATATTTTGCAAACAGGAGGGTGGAAAAAGTCCCGACTCATGTGAATCTAATGAAATAAAATTACAGTTAGATATTGAAATCAATGGAGTGGACCAATCCAAGTTAAGGGAGTGTAGTGGGGAGTCCAACATTTTAGGGAAGGGTATTCAAATTGATACTAAACAAAACTGCCGTCAATATGATGTAGAAGTTGAAGATAGCATTAACAGAAAGGACTGTGGAAATGGTGATGAAGCCATTCAGCAAAATCAAGACATAGGTTTAGAAGCTTATACTGAATCTGTATATGGAAAGTTGGATTTGGATTCTGTACAAAGGATGTTTCTTAATGGAATGAATAATAATGGCATTACTGATTCTGACATAGTTGAGATTTACCACTGCTCAGGTGTGTCAATGCAAGCACGATTGGAGCTATTCCAGAAGCAAGCTGAAATTACAAAAAAATTTCATGGGGATGCTAATGTTAGATATGCTTGGCTTGCTTCATCGAAAAAAGAATTATCTGCAATGATGGAGTATGGGCTTGGTCATTGTGGACTATCTACATTGAGATGCACATATGGTGTTGGTGTTCATCTTGCAGCCGTTACCTGCCCTGATGCCAGGTTAGTTTTCATATCATCAACGTTGATTGGTAAAATAGTTTAAATACTATTAATAGCAATTATAAACTTATCTGTGACTTAAGTTTGGCTGGGCAAGAGTGAAATGAATACTTGCATGGACTTTCTTCTGATTTCTATTTTAAGCTTAAAGGTTGATGAACTAGAGGGATAAGGCTTGGTTGTTGGTTATTTGTAAACATTATTGTCTAGACTCTGATCAAAGATGAGTACATTCAGAATTTATGTGGTAGCGATTCTCATTTGTATAAAGTATAAACTTGATCAATTTGCTGTGAAATATTACTATAGTTCTGTCTTTTAATGCTTGAAATTATCACCAACTAGTTTTTACTGCACTCTTTTTACTTTGAATGGGGAGTTATGAGTATATTTTCTTTTTGGTCTCTATCTTTTTTCTAAATAATAATAATAATATTATTATTATTACTATTATTATCATTTATTACTGTCATTTTTTTCCCATAAGAATGTTTTATTATAATTTTGATGTATTGTCACATACAAAATGCATTTTTTTCTTCATGTTTACTTATATCATATTAACTTTATTCCCAATTTATTGTGTTACTCTGTTATTTGTGAAGCTTATTCTGCTCTAGTGCTTAGAGAAGGATTAAATTTTGCCATATGTACAGTGCACGTGATTGTGATGTTGACGAAAATGGGGTTCGACACTTGATCCTTTGTCGTGTAATAATGGGAAACATGGAGATTCTCTGTCCTGGCACTGGTCAGTCTCATCCCAGCAGTTGTGAATATGATAATGGTGTGAATGACATTCAGTGTCCAAGATACTATGTAGTATGGAATATGAACATGAACACTCACATCTATCCAGAATTCATTGTTAGCTTCAAGGTCTCTTTTGATGCTGAAGGTGATATGTTGTTCCTTAAGTGTTTTTCTGTTTGATATTCATTTGTGTTTTCTTTGCAAAAATAACTTTTACATTTTAATACTATATAATTAGTACTTGATGAATTGATCGAAAGAGAAATGAATTGATATCTATGATTCTCTCCTTCCATTCGGATGGATAAATCCTAGAAGATTTTAGTATTTGGTTGTGCACACAGCACACTTACATTCAATATTTTAATCACTTCATTCTGGTTCAATAAAACAGCCACTGTTCCTTTCCTTGAAAAATTTCTTCTTGATAATTTTATACATGATGCATTTTTACAGGTCTTTTTTGTGGAAGTGAGAGTAAGAATAATGTTTCTGTGGTTGATCTGGCCTGTCAAGATCCTCGTGGCCTGTTACATTCCGACTCTTCTACAGTAGATAATGTAAGTTACTTCATATGAGTTCTGCACCTTATGCCTTCCTACGTTTTCATTGCTTATACCTACTTTTTAACTGTTGTTTTTATCTAAGAGTGCTTTCTTTGTTTCTGATTATCTTTTTACCTTGTTTCCAAAATCTTTTTGCTTTAATTTTTTGCTTGATTACGGAGAAAAATGATGTGGTGGATCTATTTATTCTAATGAAAATAAGAAGTTAGCAGCATTTGATATAACTATTTTGTGGCAGAATTTCTGGCCTGAACTGGAGGTAGACTGTCAATTTAAGGGGATTAAGACCAAGAATGTAGAGGCATTGAAAGTATCATGGAGGTTTGGATGTGTAAGGTAGTCTGATAGTATAGAATGGTCTTTTCTATGGCTTCGTGGTCAAATTAGAGTTTTTGGAGGAAAAACAATATTTAGATGAGAAACAGATTGGAGTAAGGTTTGATTTCCTAAATCATATTGGTAGATTGGATTATGGTGATCAGGATATGAAATATGATACCTTCATATTCCAGTGAAAAGGTTGTCTGAATGGTAGTCTGTTTATGGGATGTGAGGTTTTCTGCTTGAAAAACCATGTATATTCATTTGTCAATATACGTGTCACATTTTGGAGATTTAATTGTGTTTGGTTTTTGGTTGGGAAAGAGCTAACATTTGTTTGGGAATTTGTGTGAATGGTAAACCAAACACACTCTAGGCTTTTGAGATTTATCTTCTGGTTTTAAATTCTTATATTGTTTTAGATTTATTGCCCATATAAAGAGCTTTGTCCAAACAATTTTGGATTGTGGGATACCTCTTCAGGGAAAAGCTGCCAGTATGGTCGCCGTTGCTAGCACAACAAAAGTTCCAAAATCCCCTTGGATGCCTTTTCCTGTGCTTTTTGCTGCTATCAGAAACAAGGTTCCTCCCAGGGATATGAATCTTATCAAAACACATTATGAACAATTCATGGTATGTAAAGTATTAGCTCAATTTGATGCTTGTCTGCCTTGATTGTTGGAATATCTCTAATATATCATGCTTTTGCAATTCAGTCAAAGCAGATATCCCGGGATGATTTTGTGAAGATGCTGAGGTTAATAGTTGGAGATGCTCTATTGAGAGCTACAATAACAAATCTTCAATTTAAGGTACATAGTTTTCTTGTTACTTAATTTGGTTTTGAAATCATGTGATTGATCAATTGTGGTTATCCACTTATACCTCCTATAGGAATTACTTGCTGTTACGTATATTAGGCTATAGTTTTCATATTTCTTCTTATAAATTTTGAAATCTTAGTGATTGCCTCCTGCTATTTGGCCATACATCCTAATTGATGTTTAACTGGCCGCTTGCAGATACCATCCAATGGTGAAGCGAAAGACTCAAACAAGAAGGAAGGCTAAGGCAATGGAGATTCTGCAATCGGGGTCGACTATTGTCAACTTTTTGCTGGATAAGCCAGAATGAAGTTGTAATATTGTTAGCTCCTAGGCAAACTATCTTCTCTTTTTCTTTTGGAACTGAATGTTTGCTCCTGGAACTTTAATAGAGTTTATGTTGAACCAATAGTGATCAGTTGCACTGCCAGTCCTTTCGATTTCTACATTATCTTGGATTTTACAAAAACTAAACCGTGGATGAATTAATAATAACTAAATATATATTTTAAATATTACATAATATATTTAATTATAAAATGATATAAAATTATGAAAAAAATAAAATTATATAATTTAAATTAACATAAAATAATCATATTATATATCTGATAAGATTAAAAAAAATAACTATTTAACTAATAGTAATCCATAAATAGATTTTACATGAGCCTTATTTATTTTAAATAATATTTTAGAGATAAAATATTAAAATTGTTTTAGACTAGTTTTTAGGCTAGTGATTGACTGGTTTTGCCCCGTTCTTTACTGAAATTTTTTTTTTAACCTTTCTAGGTTATTTTTGAACAGGTGATCTAAATTCCGGTTTTAAAACAATGGTCTATGCATATTTGTGGAGAGAGATATTTATAATAAAATAACAACCAAGTTCAACGGATAAGGAACCAGTTAAGGATGAGTATTAGATTAGACTAAAAAATCTTAAGGTACTATACACAAAGGAGACAGATTAATATAACAAAACATCTAATGGCACATTTCAACACCAAATCTCCACCAAAAGAACTCCCTACTATCAGTCTCATGCACCAATGTTGTCAAAATCTTATTTAGGATTAGGAGGGGAGAAGATTATAAATGATAGGGTAGTAATATGGATTGTAAGATTTACGAAAAGTGAAAAAAATTTACTTTAACAAATGCATGTACGTACAAAATAACATATCGAATGAAAATATTTTTTAAATTACATTATTGAATTATTTTAAATTGAAACTCCTGGAACCACGCTCCTACTTGCGCTAGCAACCTCAGTCCCAGTACCACTAGCATTTGTAGTATGTTTTCTTGGACCATTTTTTGTATTATGATTATAATTATAATAATTAAATGCTATTTCAAAATTACCATAATTATGACATTTTATTAAATTATATTGACACAAAACACATAGATCTCTAAAAATAGGAAGTAGTTAAATTAAAAATAAAATAAAATTATATATTTAAAATTTCCTAGTAGGTATATATATATATTATAGATGAGTGCAATAAATTAACAAAGGATTTACTTAAAAAGATATATTTTTTAAAATGTCTCATAAATTTATAAAAAATTATATTTTTAAATAACTAAACTAAATATTCACTAAATAATTAATTCACAAGTTATTTTTATTGAACCAAGTAATTTGACTTGACTTTTCTTCTTCTTTATCATATTGTCAATCTATAATTAACAATTTTCAAATGTCAGCTAACCTAATTTGTAATCAAAATTAATTATGTCATTAATTATAATATTATTAAATAATAAATATACATGTGCATTTGTACAAATATATATATATATATTTTTATTAATTAATTCAGTTTAAAACTTAATAAAAAATAAAAAATGTAATATAAATAAAAAACTAATATTTTAAAACTTTTAATATTGATAAATAAATAAATATTTAGTTAAAATTCAACATAACAAAAAGAACAAAAGATGTAACTAATATTTCATTTAAAAGGAATAAATAAATACATAAAATATAAACTCGTTAATAACTAGTAAATATATTTTTGCATTACACAAGTTCGTATAAATATATTTATATTTTTTTATTTATTAATTTAATTTAAAAATAATAATAAATTATAATTTAAATATAAAAATAATTATTTATTAAATAACTATCAAATAATTACTTTCAATGTGAAAAATATTAAAAAAGCAAAACAATTTAATTAATTTTAAAGTAAATTATATATATATATATATTAAAAATAAATATAATAATTAAATTAAATTTATTTTAAACAATATAATTTATTTATACATGACTCTTATGAATTTTAAATCTTATTAATCATATATTTAATTATAAATATATATAATATAACAATTTATATATAAATATAGATGCTTTTATTTATTTATTTTTGAAAAATTAAAATTTTATCTTTATAATATATAGTGAATTTAATATTTACCTTTATTACAGTGATTACATGTACTTTAATTATAATCAACAAATATCATAATAACTATAAAAAAAAAAAAGTAACAGTGACACAATAAATGACAAGTCTGTGCAACGCAGTCCAATGAGAATGAGGCTGTGATGAAAGTTAGACACAGGCAAGTGATTGTATCAAAGCCCTGGTATGAATCACGCTGGGTTTACTTGGAAAAGGGGTAGTGGGAATTGCAGAATCAAAAGAGGGTAAACGCCTCCATCATTATCTTTGTTTTCTGGCAATCCTCCCATTCGCCGACCCCTCCAGTTAGGGTATTTTGCTTTCAGCGGAATAAAACCATAACTTAGAACCCTATCTCTCCACCAATTTGCTACACCAGGAGAATTAAAATACAAAAAAAGAAAAGAAAAAGAAAAAGGAAAAAAGAGGTGAACGAATTTATCTTTGGTAAATTGGTAACTGTTGTTTTGTGTTTCCGCTCTCAGGTAATTTCTAAACCTTCTCTACATTCCTTCAGTTTTTCTGCTGCGTGATTTTCGATTGAGAGTTTGATTATTGCGAGGGTTTTGAGCTTTTTTCGTGTCTGGTTGACTTTACGATTTGGGGCAAGGATTTAGTAGATCATGGTTGAGGTTGGCTGTTTTCGGTGTTTGAACTGATTTTGATGTTTTTCCATAAAATTTTTAGGTTATTTTGCTATTGAAAATGATGTTTTTATGGTGCTTTTTGTGTGTGTGTGTGTGTTGGGGGGGGGGGGGGGAGAGCTTGCGTTGATTTGTTGATTGGATCGATGTCTTTGGCTGTGGTTTGCTACGGCTTTGTTCTTTTAATTATGCAAAGAGTGTTATTGTTTTTTAATTTTTATGAATTTTTATAGTATTAAATTCCATCATGAGGAGCAGAGCTGTTTCAGGGAAAAGCATGTACAGTATGAACACTAACTGCAGTTCTGGGTATGCATAGATTCGTTTATATACACCTCTGTCAATTTTATAATATTTCTTAAGTTTATCTGATTTGTGAATTTCATGATGTATAAGTTTGGCTGTTTATGCATGCTGCACTGATGTGGGTATGATTTCCAGTATAGTTATGGGAATCAGATATGACTTATTTTAAACTCTAAACCTTTCCAGTATAGTTATGGGAATCAGGTATGACTTCTTTTAAAATCTAAACCATGGAAAGATAGAGGGAGAAATTTAATATAGTAACATATGAAAAACAAATCTCACAATGGGTATGGAAACTGGTAAGAGTTGAGGGGAAATTTGATATAGTAAAATATGAAGAACAAAGCTCAAAGAGTATGATAACTGGTATGGATATGGGTAGGAGATATGTAAGTTTATTTTCAAACCTATGACACAGGTATGGATATACATACAGAGTTAGGGGGTGGGTGGATATTTAATGTAATGAAATATGGAAAAATAGAGCTGAATGCTGCAGTGGCCCAACACCCATGTCTACCAAAAGAGCTATGCAGCATTCCCTTCTGTCAGTCAGAGGAAATAAAACATATAACTCACCTAAAAGCAGTAATCACCCACAGCCACACTGGTGAAGGTAGGAGTCAGGTTGAAGGGAAGCTGCACTCATGTTCTGTGAACTTGGACATTAAATTCTTAAGAAATATTTTATGTAAAATTGAATAAATGTTATGTAGAATGAATTCCCATTATCATTATCATAATATCATTAGATATGTTTATTTTTAAAGCCTTTCAAGTTTAAGTTAACAGACTGTCTTCTGTATGTTGTTGATTACGCTTTAGTCATATTTTATTAGTTCAATACTCTGTCTTTTGAAATCTTGTTGGAGTTAGTAATTTTGCAATATTTTACTTGTGCAAGTACATCATATTGCTTGTTTAGTTATGCAGGAATGCCTTTATTGATTAGCTCCTTATTCTTTATTTTGTTAACTTAATGATGATGAGCACATAATCCTAGATGTATAAGTTCATTATTCTGAAATGTTTTAAATATCCAGGGAATACGAAACATTCATGTCAAGGTCTTCCTCATTACTGCCACAGTTTGTTTGAAAGTTCTCAAGGTCTAGGGTTCTATTTAACTGCTGCACCTGAGCTTTTTTATTTAAGTGTTTGTATAGATATTGGTCTAGCAGATAGAAATGGAAGCCGAAACCGCAAAGGCATTGGATAGGGTTGCACTCAATCTGAAGCGAAAACGAGCTGCCCGATATGCTGTGCATCTTGGTGGGGCTTCACAACCAATGCTACGTAATTGGCCTTCTTTTATGTCACCAACAAGTAGGGTTGTGAAGCAGATGAGATTGGGTAAATATAGAAACAAGCTTACCAATGCTGGTCCTCATATTGGACGGTCCTTGATTAGGCGTTTTTTTAGTTACAAAAAGAGTGGGAGGCCAGAACGTTTGATGTTCTATAAGAATGGTGAATGGTTGGACTTTCCTAAGGATGTTGTTGATTTGGTCAAGAAAGATCTTGAAGTTAAGAAGGCAGCTGTGGAGATAGAGTTAAATGGGTATCATCTTGTGTTAGATTTTTTACATATGTATCAGGTGGATTTAAAAACTGGTTTGCAACAACCTATAGCTTGGATTGATGAGGCAGGATGCTGCTTTTTCCCTGAAGTCTATGCTTCTTCTGATGAAGAACCTTGTAATTTTTTCAAACAGGAGAGTGGAAAAATTTCTGACTCACATGAATCTGATGGAATAAAATTACATTTAGAAATTGAAATAAATGGAGTGGATCAATCCAAGTTAAGGGAGTGCAGTGGGGAGTCCAATGCTTTATTAAATGGTATTCAAATTGATACTAAACAAAATTGCTGTCCATATGATTTAGACGTTGAAGATAGCATTAACAAAAAGGACTATGGAAACATTGGTGAAGCCATTCAGCCAAATCAAGGCATAGATTTAGATGCTTATACTGAACCTGTATATGGAAGATTGAATTTGGATTCTGTACAGAAGATA